CATACACTGTTTCACATGTATACACACATGCACACAGTTCAGTGTTTCAAGGCAAAAATAAAGGCAAACATTGTATTTTAAATACAACTTGTTTTCTGTTTCTGCAGCTTACACCTATTTTCCGAAGGGAATTCGGTACCGGCTTTAAATCCTTGAAAGTGGTGTCATTCAGGTAATTCTTTAAAGATTTATTATGTTACAATATAAGAATACTGGCATAAATCTAATATTTGGCACGTTTTGTTTTGCTTGTTTCTTCTTCTGCAGCAATGGATCCATCATCAACACTGTTGACTCTGTCTTTGAAAGCACATCTGCTCCCAATGACACTCAGATTGCAAGTGCTTTGACCAGCGCTTCAGCCGTCACCACCTTTGACATTGAAACCAGCTCCATCACTGTGAATGGCATATGTAAGCAATACTGAGTGCTGCTTCATCATTATTTTCAAAAGTCACACAACTGTTAAACTAATGTCTTGTTTCTTTTATTCTTCATTTATAGCTTCAAGTGGAGTAAGCCACAAGATCAGTCTTGTTACGGCATGCTGCCTGGTACTGTTGTCATGGCTACTGTCCAGCCAGCAATAACATCTGATATCTATCTGAATTGCCACCAGAACATTACTGCCATCACTGGTATGAAAAAGGACTATGTTGTCAGTAAAAATCCATGATTCATTATTGTCTAAGTCTTGTACAGCTTCAGATGGATTAACCATCAAATTGAACTTTCCACTGACTGGACACACTTCTGTGTGGGAATGTCCAGGATCCTCGGCCAGACAGAATGACACAGCCAACTTTAAGCACCTGGTCCACTGAGTCATTGCTAGAATAATAAGCAAAAAAATATACCATTAAGCCCTGGGATGTCAGAAAATAAAGTGCTACAGCAATATTTTACTTAGTGACAGTTACTAATTCTGTTTTGTTTAGTCATGCCAAACAAGTAATCTAGTCCAAGTACACTAGTGAAACCAGCCGCATTGAAAGGTAAAACCGCAGATTTATTTTAATACATGCAGATTGAGTAATGTCTCCTCTTTAAAAGAAATAAAAAAGATAGGTCTTTGTAATTTGTACAAGATCATTCAAAATGGCGTAGTTTTACTTTGAGCTTAAAAGTCTGTGCAAACATTTCCCTGGTCTACAAATGCATGTAAAATTGATGTTAAGGTTTAACTAGATACCGTAGCATGGTATAACATGACATAGCAATAACAGAGAGCATATTGTAAAAGGAACAAGTGTTTTCAATGAAATGAAGGAACACCTGCAGCTCATAGTGAGCCATGGTGAGGTATGATTTTTATATATATACACATCTATATGTCAAAACAATGGTGTATTTATGTAATCATGTATAGCTGTATTCTGTGGGATTTCTTCATTTAACTTAACTAAGTTTAACTTTACAATGATCAGAATACAGATTCTTTCAAAACTTCAAATTGTCTCGTGTGATGTTTTGGAATTTTGGTGGGTAAATAGAAAATGAATTATGGCATGTTTAATGTCGGGAGCTTTAAATAGTGAAGTGATGTTTACTGATAATCAAACCCTGCCGTGTGGTTTTGTATGATTAAATTTCACAATAGTGTCTTACAATCAGTCGCTCTCAGCAAATCAGGTGTGTTCAGAAAGCGAGAACTGGAAGTGGTGCATACTTTACTTTGGCTATGAGATTCATATTTTGTTCAAACACCGCCACACAGTCTGAGAGAAACATTGTTCTTCAGTCACCTCTAACACAGAATAACCACCAGCATCAAAACCAGCGTCAGTCATTGTCAAAATTTCAAGAAGTTAAAGTTAACTTTAAAAAATATGTTGCAAAGACTTACGTAGTAGACAGAGCTGGGATGGGTCAAAGAAACACAGCACTCTGATATAGGGCTTAGCAAACTTACACCCTGTTGTGTTGCGCAGGTGCAATTCTTTTTAATATAGAGAGTTTAATTCAGTTCATATTAAATGGGCTTTATTGGCATGGAAAACATCCAATGCCAGAGCAAGTGTGACAGCAAAACAAAACTCGTGTGTACAGTGAGTACATTTCTACCAGAATTTGGGTAATATACATGTAGCTGCTGATTGGGTACACCTGTGACAAAGGAGAGAAAACACAGGCTATCTTGAAGCCCGTTGCAAACCATCTCAAATGGTTTTGAGGAAATGCTTTGAGTGACAGGTTGTCTGCCAGTAGTGTCCTCGGCTCTCAGTCAGATCCACTCCTCGCTACTCGACAGTGCCAGCCTCTCATCCAAATATGGTCACATCTGGCTCCAAAAAGATAAGAATGATCAAAATGCCAAACTCCAGGCTTTAAAATGGGAGTCCACAATCCAATGGATGATGTCACAGTAGTTACATCCATTATTTTATACAGTGTCGCATTCAGAGGGTAGAAACATATGACCTATGTGGCCGATTGGGTTAGAGGGCACGCTGGATCTGCACCTGTTCCTTCCGCTCACAAAACAGACTTAAAAAAATGAAAACACATTGTTGTTGGATTTTTTTTTCAGTTAAAAATCCCACATGGGGGAATTTCAAATGGCTGATCCCAGTATATTTTAGATTGAACATACAGTACAAGCCAAAAGTTTGGACACACCTTCTCATTCAATGCGTTTTCTTTATTTTCATGACTATTTACATTGTAGATTCTCACTGAAGGCATCAAAACTATGAATGAACACATGTGGAGTTATGTACTTAACAAAAAAAGGTGAAATAACTGAAAACATGTTTTATATTCTAGTTTCTTCAAAATAGCCACCCTTTGCTCTGATTACTGCTTTGCACAATCTTGGCATTCTCTCAATGAGCTTCAAGAGGTAGTCACCTGAAATGGTTTCCACTTCACAGGTGTGCCTTATCAGGGTTAATTAGTGGAATTTCTTGCTTTATCAATGGGGTTGGGACCATCAGTTGTGTTGTGCAGAAGTCAGGTTAATACACAGCAGACAGCCCTATTGGACAACTGTTAAAATTCATATTATGGCAAGAACCAATCAGCTAACTAAAGAAAAACGAGTGGCCATCATTACTTTAAGAAATGAAGGTCAGTCAGTCCGGAAAATTGCAAAAACTTTAAATGTGTCCCCAAGTGGAGTCGCAAAAACCATCAAGCGCTACAACAAAACTGGCACACATGAGGACCGACCCAGGAAAGGAAGACCAAGAGTCACCTCTGCTTCTGAGGATAAGTTCATCCGAGTCACCAGCCTCAGAAATCGCAAGTTAACAGCAGCTCAGATCAGAGACCAGATGAATGCCACACAGAGTTCTAGCAGCAGACCCATCTCTAGTACAACTGTTAAGAGGAGACTGCGCGAATCAGGCCTTCATGGTCAAATAGCTGCTAGGAAACCACTGCTAAGGAGAGGCAACAAGCAGAAGAGATTTGTTTGGGCCAAGAAACACAAGGAATGGACATTAGACCAGTGGAAATCTGTGCTTTGGTCTGATGAGTCCAAATTTGAGATCTTTGGTTCCAACCGCCGTGTCTTTGTGAGACGCAGAAAAGGTGAACGGATGGATTCCACATGCCTGGTTCCCACTGTGAAGCATGGAGGAGGAGGTGTGATGGTGTGGGGGTGTTTTGCTGGTGACACTGTTGGGGATTTATTCAAAATTGAAGGCACACTGAACCAGCATGGCTACCACAGCATCCTGCAGCGACATGCCATCCCATCCGGTTTGCATTTAGTTGGACGATCATTTATTTTTCAACAGGACAATGACCCCAAACACACCTCCAGGCTGTGTAAGGGCTATTTGACCAAGAAGGAGAGTGATGGAGTGCTGCGGCAGATGACCTGGCCTCCACAGTCACCGGACCTGAACCCAATCGAGATGGTTTGGGGTGAGCTGGACCGCAGAGTGAAGGCAAAGGGGCCAACAAGTGCTAAACACCTCTGGGAACTCCTTCAAGACTGTTGGAAAACCATTTCAGGTGACTACCTCTTGAAGCTCATGGAGAGAATGCCAAGAGTGTGCAAAGCAGTAATCAGAGCAAAGGGTGGCTATTTTGAAGAAACTAGAATATAAAACATGTTTTCAGTTATTTCACCTTTTTTTGTTAAGTACATAACTCCACATGTGTTCATTCATAGTTTTGATGCCTTCAGTGAGAATCTACAATGTAAATAGTCATGAAAATAAAGAAAACGCATTGAATGAGAAGGTGTGTCCAAACTTTTGGCCTGTACTGTATACTTGACTCGGGCCAACAAAAGGATGTAGTAAATAAAGTATATGATTCACTATTTCCCCATCAGGATGTTATTCCTGGCAATCTAACGAAAGTTCTGAGTCAGCATTTGCGTCAAGAAATGCAATATATAAAATATAATTCATTTGTATACATTAAAAAAAATCCAAATAATACATTTTTAGAGACTTTTCGTTTGGTCTCAAAATTTTGAGGGTACATGGGATGTATTGGGGGACCTTGAACTTTTAAAATCCTGGCTACTGCCCTGCTCCTTTAGTGTACTGAGGTCAGCTTTTTATTTGTGAGATGAAGTATATGACACTACTCTTCAAATCTTCTTCCTTTCCGCAGCCCCCTTCAATCTAGGGTACATGTTCTTCGACTACGGTCTGGAATGAAAAATGAAATAATGGTCTATAATATCCAATGGCCTTTAATTGCTATAAACAGCTCAAAACGATATAAATACTTTTAAATAGCTCTTCTACAGCTAAAACAATTGGTCAAAAAATTGATTAGTTCACCAGTTTTGATCACCATAAACTCAATTTGAATATTTGCTTTGTCTCATTAAACTGAATACTACTTTTTATTATTATTATTAGTGCATGCGCAAAATGATTAATCGATCGAAAACAGTCATCAGCAAACAGAGCAGCTTTTTACAATAACTGAAGTTAACCTTGCAAACGTCACCCTGATCATTAACACTGTGTCACGATTTTCATTTTGATGATGTTATGTTTCACTGCTCTCTCAGTAACGTCGATGGAATAAAGCGACCCGAGCATCCAGACTGAGAAAAGGTTATTTTTATATCTGCTGATCAGCGGAACCGGAAGAGGAAAACGCATGGATTAGTGTGTTTACAACTCACATCATCCTGGGTGTACCCGGCATCACCCATGCAATTTGCATTTGCAGGCTGTTGCTACCTAGGATATACCGTAGGATATGTTATAATACAGGCCTGTGTCACTGTCTGTGGTGGGGACTCTTTGTTATTGTATTGCGGACTCGCTGTGTGATAGGCTATCTGTCGCAGCACTGGGCCACCCACCATCTGTGGAAGTGGGACAAGGGAACAGATGGCGCATCCGAGCCGGCCTGCAGGGCTGCTGACGCTGACTGTTAGGACAGCACTGGGGATGAGTACCAATCATTAAAATCAAAGGCTATTGCGCCGTGTTTTTTGCAGACCTGGCGATGCCAGAGTGACTTGGTTACGAGTGTGTGTCAGCAGGCTTTGCAGATTGACCAAATTGATGCGCGACGACTCGACAACTGGCGTCAACTTAATCTCTTTTGATTTGTGTGTGGCTCGGTGAACAATGGTTGACAACCGCTACGCTACAGCTCTGGTTATCGCCTGTGTGCTGAGCATACTGGCCACCGTGTATCTGTCGGTGGCCATCGGGACGCAGCACTGGTACCAGTACAGCAGCCCCACGGTGCGCGGAGAGGCCAACGTGTCCGAGCTGCGCTCCCTGTATGAGGAGTTCATGGACGGGGAGTTTGATGAGAAGACCTACAGTGACACCCTGTTCCGCCTCAACGGGACTGTGGGCCTCTGGTGGCGATGTGTGCTCGTCCCTGCCAATGCTCACTGGTACAAAGAGCCAGGTATGTTTAACTGACCTAACCTGTCCTAATGACAAGTCACTTAGTCATTATGCCAAAGACGCGTTACACTGTAGAGCTGCAGTAACTATGAGCCCCACCTTGTCTCAGGTAGATGCCACCAGGTGTGGCTCAGTCAACAACAGGTCGGAGAGCTGTCACGCTCTCATTGTAGATGCCATCAGCACCACTTTGTGCCTCTCATGTATTATCATTAACACTAGAGTCACTGAACTAAGCTGATTTTCTGAAAAATAAATAACCGGCAAAGGTTTTGGAAAGATATTTAAAGGTCTGATGTGTAGGATTTAGGAAATGATATGTAACATTCATAACTATGTTTTCATGAGTTTATAATCACCTGAAAATAAGAACTGTGGTGTTTTCATCACCTTAAAATGAGCCAGAGCAGGTCCTCTTCCACGGAGTCAGCCATGTTCTACAGCAGACTAGAAGGGACAAATCAAACAGTGGCTCTAGATAGGGTGGGAATCGCCAATACAATATTATCACGGTCACAATACAATATTGTTGGGATTTTAAATATGTTGCAGTATGCTGAGTATTGGGATAAATATATTGCAATACATTGCAAATGATTCAACTGTAAATTATGTCCCCAAGGGAAAACTTTGTCAGCATCTGTTTCATTTAATAAGATAGAGTTTTCAGTCTGTTCATCTCACTTCATTTTATCTGGCTCCCATTTCACAAAGTCTGGACACCCCTGGCCTACTGCCACTAAATCCTACACACTAGACCTTTGATGGGGGTGTTGTGCTTTCTCAAGCAAAATAGTTTAGTGGAGGTGGTAAGCCACCCGCATTCTGTCAGATCTGTCTCATGATTGTCCCTTTCCATGGAAGCCATTTTGACTTGTCACAGTTGGAAAAGCACAGGTGTAGATAATCAGATTAATGATGGCTGAATTCCATTTAGCTGCTCAGGAGTCAGGGTGCTGGTATTGTGCCTCTTGGCTAATTGTCACTGTCACTGGAAAACTCAAACATCATTAGTCCAATCAGTCACACCTGTGCTTTTCCTACAAGGCCTATGACAAGTCAAAATGTCTGCTGTGAGGAAGGCTGTCCAGGGGCCCCAAAAGACTATTGTTTTAGTTTACATAGTGGTCATTGTGCTGTGTTTTTTCCTACTACTGTAGGCAAGGAAGTCAATCATAAAAGTACTAAGGCTGCAACCAGCATTTACTCTGATTATTATTATTAGGTCCGACAATTGCTCTCTGCGATAGTGAATTTACTGTTCACTAAATTAAGTGTCAGAAAATTGCCCATCATTATTCTCTGAAGCCCAAGTTTGTTTGACCACCAGTCAAAAACCCCAAAATGTTGAGTTTACTATCATAGTTAACTGTAAAATAGCCAGTGTTCACATTTGTGAAGTTGGTACCGGTGTGTTTTTGGCATTTTTGAAAATGACTTAAAGGAACAATCGATGATCACAATTGTTGACGAAGAATTTTCTCTCAGTCTACTTATCATTTGATCACAATAACTCATCTCTAACTCTGTTCATGGCATAAAATACACTTAAAAAATCTGTTTTTCTATGAATCAGCCCATATTATGTACAATTGTAAGTATTTCATCTTGACTTAATGGAGAAATAATGGCAACTGTGTTGGTTGCAGTGATAGAGCATTTTAGCTGTCAGCAAACATAACAAAAAATTGCTATCTTTATGCATGGTGCTGTTAAAACTAAATATTGATATCAGCTGGAAAAAACATGGATATTCTTTCATCATAAAAAATCAGCATAAAAAAGTATCAGTAAAGAGGGGCTGGGTGAAAGATAGAGAAAGTCAAATATCACCATTCCTTATTTTGTTCCCTTAGAAATATATAATACAGGAGACTTACACTCTAGACAGGCAAAAATATTAATGAAATCAATTAAAATTTTCAACTTTTTTTGTGCATTTTGAAAAATATATCCATACATACTTGGTCTCTGCAAGTCGACTTTATTCATCTGCTACAGTTTGTCCACAGAAGGTAGAAAATACACACAAGAATTACAAGAAAAAGTATGTACTATTAGTATATGACATGCTCAGACACTGGCTCTTTGCAACCTTTTTCCAGATGCCAAGATGATGCTGGAGTGTCGAAGCTTCACTCTACCTCAGCAGTTCACTCCCAAGTATAAAGAACCAGGCAACCACAACAGTGGAGAGGACATGCTGCGCACCTGTAAGTTCAGTCACAAGACGTTTACCCTTATCTAAATATTGTTGCATGAAGCTGTAAGAAAATGTGCACCAGATTCAGCCTGCTCTCTGCGTAGTGCATTAATGATGACCAATATGGGATGTTGAATAATACATTGCCCCCAATCAAAGCAGCTTCTTCTGTCATGCATAAGAAGGTGAGTAAATGAAAACCTCAGTAACTGTGATGCCCACGGATTCATGCCTCTCTGTGTCTGTGTGCATAGACTTGTGGAGGTGCCAGTTTCTGCTGCCACTGGTGTCCCTGGGTCTGGTTGTGCTGGCAGGCCTGACTGGGTTCTGTGCCTGCCTCTGTCGAAGCCTCACCCCCACCCTTGGCATAGGATTGCTTCACCTGCTGGCTGGTAAGACCTGTTCAGCTGCACCTAACAGCTTACTTGTAACTGTCAGTTTTTACCATATGAGTCATTTAGGTTGTTAAGCTTGGCCAGTTTTCAAGGACCGACATCTGAAAACAAAGTAAATTTAATTGTGTTAATGTAGTTTGAGCTTGAATTGTCCAAGCTTTTGGTTTTTAAGTCTGAGTCACAGCAGCTTCAGTTTGAATCCCAGTGTCAGAAAGCATGTTTAGAATTTAACACGTCCAGTTTATTTAGTTTTATTGTAAATAATCTGGTCAAGCATAAACATACAGCAAATAAAAACTGTGGGAAGACGTTAATTTCCCTAAATCCACTAGTCAGAACACACCTGATAAAAGCAACAGCAGATCTTTCTAAAGGTGACACAGGCAGCTGCCTAGGGTGCCACCTAGAGGCGGACTGCCACCACACCCAAATAAAGGGGATGCTTGCCGAGGGCGCCAAATGTGCTAGGTACGGCACTGGCTAGAAGAGCAAACAAAGTATATTGTTACAGGTTTTTGTAAGTGAAAGATTACACAAAACAGAATCTACAGCCATGCTAGCCTCATTGCGAGGCTGTGCTTTGAGCTAAATGCTAACATCAGCATGCCAACATGCTCAAAATAACAATGCTAACATGCTGACGTTAAGCAGGTATAATGTTCAGTATGGTATAAACATTATAAAACTAACATTTACTCATCAGCAATAAACACAAAGTACAACTGAGGCTGGTGAGAATGAGACAAATTGGAGTTTGACCATAGACTGTAGATTGTGTACTCGCATTTCGTAGCCTCAAGTTTGGCATTTTGGCCGTCGAAATGGTAGATTTTTGGAGCCAGAAGTGACCATATTTGGGTGATGCCTTGCAGACAGCCTTTAACCCTTAAAAAAATGTAAATGGATGAGGTATACAAATTCACACCTGTACAGTTGTCATGAATGGGGACGGTAGCTACAGAGACCAAAATAGCTTTTTGTACCAGGCTGTAAACATGTTTATTTCTGCTGTGAAGTTGGGCATTTTAACACTGACTCGCTTTTGGAGCCAGCCTGATGTAGCCATATGAGGACCTGCAGTTTTTAGCACTTCCGCAGCTTTATTTTTCAACCCCAGAGGTTGCTATTTGATACTGGCCTGATGATGTAGTTAGATGAAAAGTCATAGGATCACCAGAGACAGAAGGATTCATCCTCCAGGGACCTTGGGTGTCTGTACAAACTTTCATGGCAACTCTTCTGATCGTTCAGTACGGACCAAAGTGGTGCACCAACTCACTGACATTGCCATCGCTCAAGCCAAGCATCAAGTGTGGCTAGAAGAATCACTGGGCTACTTAATGTCAAATTCCATTATGAGATAACAAAACAGTCAAGTTGTTTGCAAGGAGCATACTGAATGTTGCAACTGAAATGTTTTGGCACAGGCCTTTCTTAGTCATTCCAGTCATGCCAGTTTGAAGTCAGTTGGCAGCGTCATGATCACACCTTAGCTTGAATCTATTCATTGTGCACCTGGGGCAGATGCGTGGAAGGCATCACAAGTTTTTGTTTTTTTTACAGCCTACGTCTTTGTTTCAGTGTATTTCAGCTCATTGTTTGGGTTTTATTGCCAAAAAAAAAAAAAAAAAAACGTGTAAAAACACCCCCTCATTTTGTGCCCTACAGGCCTCTGCACTTTGGCCACAGTGTGCTGCTACCTGGCGGGGATGGATCTGCTCCACAGGGTGTCAATGCTGCCTGATAAGGTGGATGGCTCTCTGGGCTGGTCCCTCTACTTGGCCCTGATTTCTTCGCCACTTCACATGATGGCCGCCGCGCTGCTGGTGTGGGCGGCACGCAGCCACAGTCAGAACTACTACCGCATGACCGCCTACCGGGTGGCATAGACTAAGATTCAGCTCTGGATCTCTGCCCTCTTTAAATTCATACCCCACTCTGTCACCAAGATGCATTTTATAATGATCTCAGAGGAACGGGATGTGGGTTAATCTGTGCGTTTTGCCCTCTGATGGATTAAAGTGCATGTCCCATGTCGTCATGACCCTATCTACTGCATTAAAAGATTTGATTTTTATCTCTCTCTACGGGTTACAGAATTGGTTTGAAAAAGGTCAACCAGAAAGATCTATATGCCACAACATATGTCAGCTTCAGAGTAACTTAACACCAAGCTGAGAAGCATTAGCTGTGTCCCAGTTTCATATTACACAGTTACCTCCAGGTTCTGTATATCTAGTGTGCTCACATTGGAAAGGAATGTTGTGTTCCTGTTGCCCTTAACACAATGTTATCACAATAGCAGAGGCATACCTATATGCACGACATATCTTCAAACAATTTGACCTGATAAAGATCTGACTGGAATCACAACGGTGTCAATTTAAAAAATATTAGTGTTTTGGAGTTTGAGCAATCTAGAAGCAGAAATGACCCAAATCATAACAAACAGGAATTTGTAATTGAAGTGTACTAGTTGTACAATGTAATGCACAAAGCAAACAGAGAAGTTTGCCGGGAAAAGATTTAATTAAATTGTGGACAATTGGAGATTTTTTCGTAAACCAAAAAACAAAGAATTAAATATTTGACCACACGGCTCTTTAAAGTGGAAACAGACAAGTTTTTGTTTTCTTAAACTTATCATTACAAAGCAAATGGTGAGCGCACAATGTAATGGCTGTCTGCCACAATACTGACACTATCTGTGTTTAAATTTGTTTCCTATCGGCCTCGCTTTAACTTTGCAGTTTCTTCATGCCCCTGGGTACGATCTCCCTGGAAAATGAAGGCTCGATCTACAGCAAAAAAACAAAGTGTGTCAACTATTGAACAACCAAAACAGGAAGAGGATAGCACTTTTTGTTGTCCTCTGTAGCTTTCTCCAGTTGTCAAAGAGTATCATTGTACATTCTTTGCAGTTACTATCGCCAGTAGTGAAAATGGCGGACTGCGGAACAACCAAAGAAACTGTGGTAGTTTCCAGGCTCTGAGGCAAACAGAAAGTGATCCAAATGTCTAGTACCACTTGAAAATGCTATTTCTCTGTTTCCACTTTAACCAGCAGGGGTGTTTGAAAGTTGCAAATTGATTTAGTATCATAGAGATCTTTATTTACAGTAGCACATCATATTTATCAGATTGGGGTGTGGAGCTGGGACACATCTTTTGTTTCACCGACCTTTTCTGTTTGAAACTTCCAAAGCTTTTGCACCACTGATCACACCCAGAGTCACAGTCGGGTGTGGTGGCGCTTCCCCTTCGTTGCCCTTTTGAACACCTGGCAGTGAGGTACAAGCGCACTGGACACACCCTGAAGATGCTTCTCTAGAAATGCAGCAAGACAAAAACCTCGTACGCATCCATTAGGTATTTATTATGACAGGTTTGCTGTTGCGCAATCAGTCCTTTACTTCGGCTGCTTCAAAACATAGTCGGGATATATGGGCATAAATGAGGCAAGACAATGACTATTATGTGTACATATTCCTGTTGTTACACAAAGATTTACATCCCTTTTTTTTTTTTTGTAACCTAAGTGACATGTATTGATTTATTCATGGCCATTATTGAGGTCAGACTGTGTTTGTTTATGATTTGTTTACCCCCAATGCACTGTTTTCTTTATTCTCAAGCATTTTGTAACGTTTTGACTGATTTTGTAGGCTTTTGTAGAAAAGATCGAAAAGTTCTAATTTTTTCAGCATAGTCGTCGTTTTTCACCATTTTGTTTTGTTCCCCTTTACATGCGCATATATATTGGTTTCCTTTTGTGAATTCAGTTGTGTTTGTTATTATTTATTTGGTTGATATTTTTTCATTTTATTTTTTATTAATTTGCTACCATCATTTCATTTCAACAGGATTTAAGGGAAACAGTGTTTCCCTGTTAGGCATTATGAATGTAATTTAAAGGCCATATTGTGACAAGCTACAGTATTCCTTTGCACTTAAATTATTTTTTAACATATCCTGAATATTGCTGTAGTGGTCAGTAGTGAATTTCTATTTTTTGAAGATGTATGTGTCCCAAAAATAAAATGAATTCAAAAACATATGACCTTAAAAAACTATGCTATGTATGTTTCCAGAAATATATAAATTGCCACCAGTCACACCAGTAAAACTAAAGAATGTCTGTGAAATGATGCACTGTGTGTGGTCTGATGGGTCTTGTGATAAATCAGATTGTATTTTGCATATTCAGCCTTGTAATTCAAGAAATTGTTCTATCCCTGAACCCACTGTAGCATAAATATAAACAGCAAATGTCCATGTATGACTGTGCTTTTGTGAATTTACAGTGAATGTGTTGTTCACTCTCCAGTTGTGAGCTGAAACGGTTAATAACTGTACACTTAAATATAGTGTGTAAGCGAGCGTACATGTGCGTGTTCCAAGCAACTGCTGTTGTTCCAATAAAAGCTTTTTTGTAAAAATGACTGCATTGTCACATCAGTCTCATCATGCTGGCCGTGGTAAAGGTCCATCCTCACTCCTCTTCCTCTGATGCAAATTCCTGTTGGTGCGCTTGTTGCTCCTGCTCTGTCTGCACCCTGATTGCAGGTATCATCACTCGCGTTTTTCTTGCCAGGGTGAGAGCGATGCCCTTCTCGTAATAAGCACATTCATTGATGAAGAAAGGATAAAGAGGTTCTTTGCCTTTATACCTCACAGTTTCACCTGAAAAAGTCTGGAACAGCGGGTCTTCAGGGTGGAGCAGGCAGAAGTCTCGGTCCTGTGGGGGTTAGGACAGCCAGTTAGGATGACTGCTGATGAGAAACAAGGCAGTCCCTACTTGTATATGTGAGGCTTTAAAGCAGCTGGGCAGCAAAACACACTGTATACTGTAGCTGTTGGAGAAGTGGTCACAAAAACCGCTAACTGAATAAAAGAAAAAAATTAAAATTCAGTGTTTTAGGAAAGTTGCTAGTTAGATGAGAAGTTCAATATATATGGCAGAGTGGGAACTGTTCATTAGGTGTTTCTCAAAGTCAAGGATCCTCCCTTGGTAGGACGAGTCCTTCCAAGAACAAGATTTGTGGGTACTTTATATCAGTGAGCAGGAATTCATTTGGTCTCAAAAAGTTTGATTGATTTCCATTTTACCACTTCCAGGGATTTAGTACTGGACTTCCATGAAGCCTGAAAAAACAATTTGAAAACATGATCCAGGTTTTCCTTTTGATGCACCAGCAACCAGCCATTTAAAATCAATAGTTAGTTAGCAATGGCCTAAAGGTCCCTCATGGTTGGGTGCCCTGATCAAAAATCACTAAACTGCAGTGACACTTTAAACCTCAGTGACTCACAGGATGGCTGCCACATGCCTCATACCAACCGAACAACCCTTAAAATGACCACAGATCTTAATCAGCCCTTATGTTACAGTTTCAGCAGACTACACTGTGAAGTGCTGCTTGTCCATGAAAAGGCAGCCATTCAGACTGTGACAAAGCACATTATTATCAGGCTCTATTATACCTGAAACTGTTCCCACACAGTGGCAGCTGCGGCATCATCAGTGTCTCACAATTACATTGTTATCATCATTTCTCATATCCTGTTCAGATTGTGCATTTCTCTTCTTGTAATTTGTGACGTGTTAAAGAAGAAAAAAAACAAATCCCCAGTTCTGTACAGATTTTTACATACAAACATAGATGCACTCTGAATTGCTGGTAATTGTAGCATAGCACTCACTACCCTGCGCTTTCATCAATATGCTGCACCAGCATTTCAATTTTTGAACTTATGACAACACAAAAAAAGTTAGGATCAGTTAGATATCATTCTCAGAAAGATGTAATTTGCTACTGAGGATAGGGGAAATTGGAAACCCCAGTAAATGTTTAATTATTATTTAAATATTATAAAATCTCCATTATATTGAATATTATCCTTGCCTGTATCCAAATAAAATTTTTATGTGTTCAGCGGACCTGCTGTGTGCCAACGAAAAGACTTTCTAGGTCAGTGGTTTCCAACTGGTCCAGCCACAGGATCCAGATCAAGGTCAACACAGGTTAATACTTTCAGCGTCATGCTTGTGTTTGGCCATGTCGCCCAGCTAGTTTGCTGTCTCTGTTGAGTAACTGTCTGTGACTCACTCGCGCTGCAGCAGGACACTGCACTTAAAAATAAAAGCTCTGTGACAGACATGTACTGTACTTAAAAATAAAGTGCATTTTACAAAATTGTTTGCTAGTCGCTTGCGGTCCATTCAGAATGGACCCATGACCCAATTTTAGACCACAACCCACCAGTTGGGAGCCACTGCTCTAAGTTAGCGTGTGGCGATTGAACACACTCTGTAAATAATACCAAACTGCATAATTCTTTCTGTACGCTGTGCAAGGGAGTGATTAAAAAATTCAAATTAGAGACATGTAAAATTAAGTGACGCTAAAAAAGAAAAAGAAAAAAAGACTTGATGTGTCATCCTTTAAAAATGTCCCCATGTCCAATTGAGTCTCTGGTCGTAAAAGGATTTACTTTATGTCACAGCTTATGTAAAATGTCAGCAGTTAATTACAGTTGATTCATACTGGTATGCAATTCATGTTCGGACGTTATGATTGCTGTTTGGTATGAAGCCATTTACAGGAAAAGGCCCAACCCTGTGTTATAAACACACACACACACACACACACATACACTTTATTATATTTCTAAAGACAAAGGCTTTGCTCCTCTGTTGTTCATGTCTTAAGCAGCCGTGCACGTTTGTGCTAGGTAATTTGTAAACGTTGTCATCTTATCCTATCCACTCCCTGCTTTATTCAACATTAATTTATTAGGCTCAGCTGCATTTACATCCACCAAAGGGCAACTTCTTTCATTAAAGCATGAAGCCTCACATGCGTTTCAGACAGTACCTGGAGTTGAGGATGAATGGCTGCTGTGATGTTACGAGTTTCCCTGTCCCTTGGGTAGTCAATGTGTTTAATCATGGTGAACACATCCACAAATCCTCCTTCAAAAATAGTACCTGGAAATAAAAGACAGATTTACAACAAGACTCCCCCCCCCCCCCCCCAAAGAAAGTCTTCAAAGTTTGCAAGATTTGTGAGATTTCGAAGTGGTGTAGCGAAGCAAATTGGTAACCTGGGCTTAATTGCACCTGAGTTGAAGGAACGGACCCAATCGAGCATATGCTGCACGCCAACTTTCATTGCCGTGTAGATGTTTGACCTCACCACACCGTGGGGCTGGGGGCCGATCTCCATGGCTGCAGAAAATAGATTTTAGGTGACATATATGACAGATTACCCAACACTGAAATGCTTTTCATAAGCTAGTGTTACAGTAGATATGAGACTTACCAAAGCCATGTTTTCCCACTGAATCAAGGGAATATGATTCTTCACAGGAGAAGTCAAAATGGATGTACCTCAGTGGAATATCTGGCATCTGCCTCTGAAAATGAAACGTCACTCTTGACTTTAGTTTTCTAACATCTCAGGTCTTTGCTTTATTTGAGGTGCACCCAAAGGCTTCTCAAACATGCAGGGTAAACCAATTTTACTTGAGTGTGTAGGTAGTGTTTGTGCTTGCCTGCAGGTGTCTGAATATATGCAGGCAGATCCAGTCAACGTCAGAGTACGCGATGAAACACAGGCCCATGTTGGCGGTGGTGTTGTGGAGGTCGCAAACAAGATCCACCGCCTCGGGACTTCCTTTGGGACCCAGCTTGGCGTTCAGTTCTCGGGATCTGATTATCTCATAGGGGGCGGCGTCTGATAGGGGACCACTGGGAGACAGACAAACAATCTGACCACAGCTCGTCATCATCATCATCAGAACTGTTACCATGAGCATCGTCACCTCTCCTCGCCTTACTTGAGGTTGGCTTTGGTGAAGCAGCGGTTGAGGTCGGTGTCGATGTATCTGCGGCACTGCTGCATGGCCCGCGGGTTCGACAGCACCATCAGCAACGACGGAGACTCTTCCTTCTCCATCACTTTCTTCTCTGCCTTCAGCAGCTCTCTCACCAAGTACACCCCAGACAGCTCGTTGCCATGGGTACCGCCGCACACAGCAACCCGGGGCAACCTTGGCAAAGGCACCAACTGGTCTACCTCCATCTGGGTGAGAGCAGGCAGAGAAACAGCGGAAAAAGTACAAGAATTTGAGTATGTACGCCACAAAAGAAAATGTGTTTTTTGGTCTTCCTATATCACCCTATATTCTGAATCCAGTTTTGAGCAGCTCTTGTACAGTTTGCATTTTCTCTGCTCATACACCGCTTGTATCTCTTTTTATTCCATATGCAGCAATGTCAAATGATATCAAGTTACACATGTATTATTGATTCCCCTCTTGTTTCACTCAGTGGGAGGTATCAGTTACTCCAGTGTTGATGTCACTGGGCACATTGTAGCCAACAACTGCAACACAAAGCAGAGATATTGATTTGTGAAACCTTACCTCGCCGTTCTGGCTTGCTGGAAACTGTAAAGGGGCAGTTCCGGCTTTAAACCCTAGAAATGTACTGTGCCTCTACAGCAGCACTGAGATTCAAAGTCTGCTTAAAGTCTCTTAACTCGAGGTAAAACAGGGTGAACTGTCAGCTCCACATTTCACAAACAAGAGATGAAATGACTGACGAGGCATCGTGCTGTACATCTTACCCAATCTACCCTGTCCCTACCCTTTCTCTTCCCTCTCCCCCTGCCGTTTACCCTCATCCACCCTCTCCCAGGCTTTCATGCAGTTTCACTGATTCAGCATTCCCATCCCTCCCTCTGTACAGGCTGTAGCTGCCTGTTATGCAAACTCTCACCGTCTCTCTACCACCTCTTGTCCACTGCACTGCACTGAACTACACTGTATCGTAGGCAGGGTGTGTCCTGAGTGTGATGTGGTGCATCGGTTGCTTCCCGTGGTCCCAACAGCTGTGAGGTCCGCCAAACTGTAAGCCCCTCCCCAGCTCCCCATCTCTCTCTCTCTCTCTCTGCCCCATGTATAGGATGGTAGGTTCCAGTCTGCCTTTCAGAAAATTGGCTAAAAATAAATCTGCTGGCATGACACAGCAAGAGAGGCGCCCGTGGTGTATACAGTGAAAGAAACAGCTCTTCTCGCAGGGAAAATAAATAGAGAACCAGCTGGTGATTTGAAGAGAACACAGATTTGATCTTAAACTGTAAATACAAGGAGGATGACTGCTGACGAAAAAGTGAGAGCAGCAGGTTTAATCTCATCTTAATACACGTTTTTTCCTTTATTGTGAAAGCTTGAACACTACTGGATTTTAAAGACGGCTACCATCATTGATACATGCATATCAGCTGATGTTGGTTTTTCTATAGCTGCAACCAGCAGCTCTATAGATCAGTCTGACGGACAGTCGGTTGGTCTGGATAATGTCCTCACCCTCTGGCGACCACGTTTTGCCCGAGGAGACTGATATTTGGCCTGGAAGTCAAGTGTGTGTGTAAAGGTGTGTATAGGTGTGTGTTCATGCCAAATTGGGAGGGGGTGTGGCGTAATGGGAGTAGCACATAACTTCCAAATGGATTCACAGACTTGCCCAAGATTTTGTTGAAAGATTAGTCATGCGCTAAAGCAGTGGCTCCCAATTGGTCCAGCCAACTGGTCCAGATTCCTCCTTAGTCATTAGTTCATGGTCCACAGAGTTTTATTTATCCAGCGTCATATTTGCGTTTGGCCATGTCGTCAAGCTAGTTTGTTGTCTCTGTCAAGTAGCTGTCAGTGAGTCACTCACTCTATAGCAGGTAATGGCACTTCAAAAATGCAGCCCAGTGCCAGAAGTTCACTGTCCTTAAAAACAAAGGATGTTTTTTAACAAACGCGACATGTCTGTGAGTCATATGCGGTCAATTCAGAAGGAGCCCGCAACCCCCCAGTTGGGAACCACTACAGCGTGGATGCATGGATGGACACGGTCACATCTATGGTGAATTCACACTGTTTTTCACTTTAAAGGCCCAGTGTGTAGGATTTAGAGGGATTTATTGGTATAAATAAAATATAATAAAAAGGTTTTTGTAGTGTGTAATCACCTAAAAATTTCTGTGTAATTTGTGCGTTTACTTGCACTAGCACATGAGCACTAAACACAAAGTACGGCTGAGGCTAATCTCATTTTGTGTTTTATATTGCTTGATTGATTACACAATGAATATCACATACATTAAAAAGCACTGTATTTCATGTCTCCATCTGCTGGTGGGCCATCACAATAAGAGTATGCATGCATAATATGATGTTAATTCCACAATAGTAGAGACTACATGATCACTAAAATTAGGTAGAGAAAAAAGTGGATTTATCAATTGGTTGTCGGTCAAATGAGCTGTTAAATATCGGCATATCGGATATCAGCAAAACACATGAATCCCAAAATCAGCTGGAGCACAAACTAATGGGAACCTGTTTACATTGGGCTTTATTATTTTATTGACACATGTCGTCCCATCTGGAGCTCCAACTGAACACGAGGACAGACAGAATGAGTTGGCAAGCCTCTAATTGTGTTACCTCAAACACTAATGGAAGTGTTGGAACAAATGAAAAGGAAAAAAACAGTATGAAAAGTTGTTTGTTTGACATCACAGCATTTGTTTATTACAGATTCTTCTTCTTTGTTAATACAAAATACTGAACAATGTCACGTCTCCCCTCTCAGTTAAGTATGGAAACTCCCTTTTTTTCTGAAAATGAAGACAGTCCTCTTCCAGTAATATGAGAGGAAGCAAAAATACAAGAAAAAAAACTACCTTACAGTTATCAATACTATATGAATTTCTATACATTTATAAAATCATAGTTATTTGCAATGCTTTTAAATTCTTTGTTTCTTTATTCTTCATTTTTAAGTACACTTACAAACAAAATTATGAAATTCACACACACGCACACACATATTATATCCCATGTTTTTGGTGTCAGAATGCACTTGCATATGTATGAACTTTTCAGCAGATACATCAAAGTGTGACGTTTATTTTCACCGCGGTGTTCACTTTTGTTTTCTTTGCACATTCATGTGTGTGTGTTCCTCTCAACACACAAAACCACACCAAGTATACCTTCACCATTTTTACTGCCATGTAACGTAGTTACCTTCTCACTTCATCTGCAAAATGGCGACAAGTTATTCCAACGCTGTGAAAAGGGGTAATTTCATTAATTGTTACTGAATAAAACTGCACTACTGTGAGGTTTTCTCAGCACTGGAACAAGATGTCGGCCATTTTGCAAACCCGATTACTTCTTCATAGTTTTAATGTTTGTACAAGAAACCAGCTACAAATGTCAGTGTCATACAACGTCAATACAAGTGAGAGCAGGTTGCTCATGTCTAAGGCGAAGAGAAAGGGTGTTTAGCCACATCAAAATGTTCACCATCACAATTTCCATCAGAGCTTTGTGAAGGAAACAAAATAAAAATCTCTTCTAACTATAAAACATGACGGGTGGTAGAGGTCCAACCAGTATTCTTCTTCTTCTTTTTTTTTTTTTAACACAGTATACTGCACAGAGGCAGCGTTGTAAAGTGATGGAAGAGCAGATATGCAGTCATACACACAAGCACACTAGAACCTTCACTTCATTACATTAAGACACTAAATCAGAGAGAGAAACAAGAAATCCTTGCTAACGTCTTGAAGGCCACCAGTCAACATTTTAATGAAATTATTTGAATTATATTTATATATAAATGTATATATTAACCAGGTCTTACCCCCCTTTTTTTTTAGAGTTATTACCAAAGCACACAACGCTGTGGATGACAATAGGGACACTACATTATCTCACAGGGTGTTATCAGCACAAAACCTCTTCTGCTCCTGATCTGAGAGACTGCACAGACTTGAGCAGAGAGACTAAAAGAATGATCTACTGATGATTTGGAAGCACTGCCCGTTTCATTTCCTCCCCCTAATGCTCAGAGTGACCCGAGTCAAAGCAGCACAAAATAATTCCAGTCCTCTTAGATGTGTGACGGCAACAAGGGGGTGGGGGACAGGAACCAAATGGGACAAGGGAGGCCGGAGGAAAAACCCTGCTCCCCCTCTGGAGATCTCTTAGAACAGAGAGTGACTGGAGGGAGGCAGCTGTCCAAGTGGGAGGGTGGGGACAAGCTGATAGCTGTCCACCAGGCGGCTTCGATGGATCGGTCTCTTCGGGGCACTTGGCAGTCAATGCCGAGGTCAAAATATGTCCGGACAGCCCTCCCAGCTGCTACGCTCCTTAGCTTCCCAGTAGCCTCCCTTATAGATATGGACTTGCTCACCTGTGATCCGGTCCTCGCAGCGCTCGAACCAAAGTGCCTGGTAGTTGTCATGAGGTGTGCCTGAAAGAGAGAAAACTCGTGTTACCAAAAAAGACGAAAGGAAACAATCCAGACAGATGATTCAGACAGAAATGGACGCATGAAGAGGAGGCAGTGAAGGAGTACTTGCTTTTTAAGGATGGATCAGTAAGAGAGTCCTCATCGACAGCTTTTAGGAAGAGAAGAGGGGGATCACAGAGATTTTTTTTTACCCCTTTATTCCAAGATTTTCCCCATGCAAGGTAGAGAGGAACACAGACAAAGTACACACGCACTAGACTCACCTTCTTCTGATTGGCTGGAGGTGCGTTGGCTGGCGGCTTCCCGCTCTCTTTCCCGCCGGGCGCTGCGTTGCTTCTCCTCCAGCCGCTGCTTCTCCGAGTTGGCCTCGTCCCAGCGGCCGTCCTCCATCAGGCGCTGGTCAGGCCGGCGCCGGCTGTCCGTGGGCGCCACGCCCTCCTCAGACTCATTTAGGGTCAGCGCCAAGGCAGTGAAGTAGTACATGGTCTCTGCTCCCTCGCTGTGTGAGAGCGAATGAAAAGAACAGCAGCACTGAAACTCACAGAGCTGAACAGATAGGTCATCAACATGCGCTTCTGTCATTACTCATGGGAAACAAAATCTGTACGGACGAAAGCTCTTAACTTTCTACATAGCTTGTTGGTGCCTCTAGCTTATTGTGTTGAATATTCAGTTTTATTGCATTTTAAATTGTTTGCAGCCTTTTAAGGTTAAATGTTTTATGTAGATCACCTCAAGCTGAATCTTACGTATGAATGGTGATTTAAAACATAAAGCTTATTGATAACGTTTTATGAGAAAGACGAAATTCATAAACATGTCAAGACAAAGAGTAAATCACGCACCACTGTGGCAACGCCTTAGCAATTACTGAAGCATCCATGGTAGGCATGGGTGGCCACAGAGGTGAAAAAAGGAGAGTAGGTGCAGCGCTCCGCCTGCTGTAGGATCGAGAATTGCTCAGTTTGGATCAAGTATGGGTTCAGGGTTCTTCCACAGTGTTTTACTGTCTGAGGTTAAGACAGGCTAAGATGTAGTGAGCAAATATGGAGTAATTTAATATTCCACAGCTCTCAAATGTTAGTGTTTCCTACTAGTACAATACACTTCCCAAACCTATTTTGATTTTCACAGAGCATTTTGCCCATGAATTAAAATTAAAAGCTTTCACATATGTGTCAAAACAGACAATCCCTCAATCCACTCCGCTGTCCCTGCGGAGATGCTAAGAGGCTACTTCTGCAGGAGTGTGAGCTCTATGCCGGGGACAGGGAGTCCGCAAACACACAGTGACAGGGCTAACCGTAGCATCATGTGGCTAACCTAACAACTATTAACAGATTTAGCCACAGAGTCGAGCCGTTTCGGTGTGGTTTGTTGAGACTGTTTAACAGCTCTGTGTCAGATGTTAGCTGCTGCTGCTGCTGCTGCTGCTGCCTTAGCTCGTGCCTACTATATATTCCATGTGTAAAATAAAACCTTAACATTCACAGAAAAGAAGCTGATGTACAATTTTTGAACATCAAATCATATTTAATGACTGTGACTATTGTTTGGCCGTTTGCTAACTGACTGAAAACAGGACAAAACGCATAAAGATCTTACTAAATTTAATTTCAGCTTTTTATTTCTGGCTCTAAATGAACCCTGGCTCAGATTTTTGGCACATTACTTGAGTAAGAAAACAAAATATTGTATGTTTAAAGCAAATAACACTTTATTTTTAGCTGCGTTTTGCTGCCAAGAAATGCTTAACATTCTACTGTCTTACATAACAATGCATTGTGTGATTATTTCTGGTTAAAACACAAAGACAAATAAAAACAAATTATCTTGCTTGGTAAACGATTACGCTTCTCTGAATCACTGCTGTCTTTTGAATGCTTTCTCTCTCATGACAAAGACACACCTAACTATGCAGTAATAGTACTTACGGTAGAGGGTTCCTCCTCCAAACCTCTCTGGCTTTGAGGGTTTGATAGACTGTCTTCTGTTTGCCCTCTGTGCCATTCTCTCCTCCTCGGCTGCTCTGCATCACCCGGGAGAACTCCATCTTCTCATCCCACGTGCCCGACAGCACGTAGTGGGCCTTGCCGTCCTTGTCCATCACCACACCTGTCACCTGAAGAAACACGAGAGAGAGGGTTGACAGAGGAGTAAAGCAGCATGGGTCACTGACACTGGCTGTGATCTTGTGAGACCACACTTTTCTTTCTGCAGAGAACATAAAACATAAACACAATAAAGACACGATAAACATAAAGAGAAAAAGTAGAACTGAATCAGCTGAAGGGCTTTGCATTTGTCTCACCTTCCTGGCAACATCTCTGGAGAAGTAGCTGTAAGGAGCGAACTTCAAGTGGCAGCGGTCTCCAGTGGTGTGGTTCACAACGTCTATCTCTCCTGACTGGACGCAGACATTTTCAAACAAATAAAAGATTAACCTTTAATCCAGGGTTGGCAGTATGACTACAAATACTCTCAGTAGATATGTAAGCCGGGCACCGCTTTAAAGGGCTGTACTGGATATTGTTTTTTACATTTGAAACTTCTATAGAGGTTTTAATGTAATGCAGCCTTTAAAACTAGGGAAAGACAACACATACTATATTACTATATGTGAAAAAGACGATATCTAGTCTCATATCATGGTGTCAATATTAAGGATAGACCGATACATCGGCCAGCCAATATATTGGGCCGATATTTGAGTTTTTTACTTGTATCGGCATCGGCCGATACGCGCGTGGGTTCGCGGATTTATTTTACCCTGGCATGATTTACAGACAGGCATCCACGGGCAGCTCTGTGTTGCCGGAAGACCATGCAGCGAACATGCAACGAATCCTACTGTGTACAGTAGTTGTTGTTTTATTTATGCTTCAGCTTAAATATTTGTTTATTATATAAAGACATTACTGGAAGATTTAAGAGCACTGAACTCTTTTTTTTTTTATTTGAATGTATGATAATAATAATAATAATAATAATAATAATAATAGTATTCTACCTGTTCTACCTCAACTTTCCATCTTGTTTTAGTATTTTTTACTGTTCAATAAATGTTTCTTATTTTAAACTTGAGACTTGTAATATTTGTTATCATTGTGTCATTTTTTTTTTATGTAAATTGAGGGCGCAAAAGCAGTATCGGCCCCAAATATCGGCTCAAGAAAATCGGCAGTCCATAATCGGTCATCGGCTAAGGGTGATGGAAAAAAATCGGTATTGGCATCGGCCCTAAAAAATCCATATCGGTCTATCCCTGGTCAATATACTTTTGATATATTGCTCAGCCCTAACAGACATCATTTTACAGCAAAACAGTACACTAAACATGTTTCTGAAAATATTTAAGGTGAAAAATAGGCAACGCAGTGACAAAATCTTGATTCATATTTGATCAACGCTGCCTAGTTTGACAGTTTGACCACAGTTCAGGAGCAGTGATTGACGTGATTGACAGCTGTGTTAGTTAGTGACTCCTCAGCTCTGATTGGCTGTTTTCATTCACATGCAGCAAGGCTACTGGAAGAGCTACAAGGCAACAGAGTAGGCAAAGAAGTATGACTTTTTTTTTTTTTCCACAGATCATCTATGTTATTCAGTGCTTTGGGAATATAAATATTTAGTTTATATTAGTTTCAGTGTTGGTTTGAGTGTTTTTTTAATAATGTAGGGTATTTGTTCAGGCCAAGATTTAAGAGGTTCAGAATGGGTACTACATGACAAACAACACTTTGTGAAGGCATTCGACTCACAGCCATGTGTAGGGCTGGGTTAAAATAATCACTTCATCCGATTCAGATCGATCTTCATTTGAATGACCAGATATCGATTCGTAAAATCAGAGATCGATAATTTTAATATACGCTTTTTCTCTCATCCACCGCTGCTGATGTTATGTTGTAAACAAGTACAGCACATTTTCCAGTTAATAGCAAATTGTCACTAACAAGCTGAAACAACAACTGTTTATGTCTGAGTCTCTTCAGCAGCAGAGAGAGGAGCAGAGAGGACAGGAGGACTGATACTGACTGATGTCTGTGTTCTTTAGTCTTTCTAAACTTAACTCTGTATTTAGATTTGTTTCCAGTGAGATACTGAGTTGATATTGTGACTTTACTGTTGTAATATAACTGTTACTACTCTAGAAACATTTAGTTAGAAAATATTCAGTTGTAGTCCTGCTGAATTTGTTCTTTTTAAATAATTTCTTGTGAAGTCTACAGTATCAGTTCTCTGAGAATCTCCTTCACATACTAGCAAAAATTGGCACTGTAACTGAAATATGCTCAATCGAATCGATGTGGTGGCGATACACAGTCCTAGCAATTTAAACATTCCAATCTGAATAAACGTTTCCCAGCCGCTGAATAAAGTGACTGCTTCCTCATGCTTGTGCTGTTCACAAGTTCAACCGAAACTATAACTAAAGACATTTCCTGTATATGTTATTTTATTTCAGTTGGTTTTGTGAGTTCATATTAGTGTCTCAGTTAGTTGTTTTTTGGTTTGTTTGTTTTTTTTTATTATTTTTTGGGGGGGGCATTTTTTGCCTTTAATGGACAGGACAGTTAAGTGTGAAAGGGGGAGACAAAGAGGGGATGACATGCGGCAAAGGGCCACAGGCTGGACTCGGGCCGCTGCGGCAACAGCCTTGTACATGGGGCGCCTGCTCTACCACTAAGCCACCGACGCCCCGTGTCTCAGTTAGTTTTCATGAACTTTAATAACCTTGGTGCTATCAACACTAACAAGGAAAAACAATAAAGAGTTATTAATGAATAAATATTAAAATGCTTAAGTGCATACTGACCTAGAGTGAAGGTGGGCTGTGCATTTTTTCAGGGTATAAAAAAGTCAAATGTACATATATCACAACTGTCATCTTACTTTCAACCGTCAGTCTCACCTGATCGATCCACAGTTTTCCTACGATGATGTTGTGCACTGTGGTGGTAACTTTCTTCCATGTGTAGTGATTGTTGCCCTTTTCAAAGATTGCATGAATCGTGCCTACAAGGAAAAAGTAGACAGCGGAACCAAATAAGCTTCATGTGACAGAGCAAACCATTGTTTGGTTTTCTCAATAACATCCTAAAGATAGCCTTCCATGAAGCAAAGGTGTGTCTGATACATTCCTCAAGCTTTATTCACTGATCCCTCACAAAAACACTGCAGTCACGGTTCATCCACTCCAGCCATGTTCAGGAAATAAATTGTGATCACACCCTCGACCAACGTCATCATCAGACTGCAAAGCATGCTTAATATGTTTTGATGAGATCTGTCTCTTACCTAGAGGCATAATCGAGAGGTATTTGCCTCTGAACTTGCTGGCAACAGTGATTTCCTGTCTCAGGGTCCAGCCACGATCGGAGATCACATGGTGCGCTGCCGCAGGGGGGTGGTGACTCACCTGAGAGAGAGGTGAAAATAACATCAAGGGTTCAGTTGGTTTAAAAAAAGAACATAACTTGAGGCATCAAAAAGTGGTCCCTGAGTGGTACTGCTCTGTAGGTTTGGTTCCTCCCTCATAGTGTTTATTCTGTCAGCTATTTAGTCTTAGTCCTGGGTCACATGTCCTCGTTAGATGTCATCATATTCAGTCAATCTCATCATGTTAGTTTTAGTTCACTAAAGGACATTTTAGTCTCACCTTGGCTAAAGACAACCACAACTATTTTAGTAGTATTAGTCGATGAGAACGTTTGACATTTTAGTCGTCAGATTATATTTTAACATTTCTAATCCCGCTTAAACTAATTAGTTTATCTTTTTTTTTTTTACTTTATCTTATCATTATTTCATGAAAAAACACGTTGAATGATTAAGGTTTTGCATAAAGTGTCTGGTCTGATGGTCCTGTGGTATCAGTTTAAGCAGTACAACCAACATGGGCCCATATAAATGCTTCCTCTCCTCTAGCCCAGCTAAAGCTTCCCGTCTTGTTACCCAGCTGCTGAATAAATTGTCTGAGGTTAGTTCTACACTGAGTACCAAGTGTTAGAATTGAAACCATGGCCACACTGACAAAAAACAAAACAGCAGAGCTGCAACAATTAATCAATTACGTGTCAACTATTAAATTAATTGCCGACTAATTAGTTAAGTGATAAATCTGAAGTTATTTTTTAAGGAAAAACAGTCAAATTCACCAAATTTAGCTGCTTAAATGTTCATATTTTTTGTTTTCTTTACTCCTCTATGACAGTAAACTGAATATCCTTGGGTTAGGGATTAAAAAAGGCATTCAAGGAAGCGATTTTGGGCTTTAGGAAACACTGTCCAACATTTTTCACTATTTCCTGACACTTTATAGACCAAACAAGTGACTTTTCGTCAACAATATTGCATGTTAAAATCACAGATTGTACATTATAATATGGCATGACAGCCAACAGCTTCCCAAAAGTGAAGCCAAAACACCTTGATCGCCCCCTTGCTGGCTGACTGCGGTACTGTAACAGTTGATAAAGTCACAGTTCGTGTTTAATGAGTTTAGTGACCTCTTAGTGTCACGTCTTAGTCATGGGAAAAATGTTCGTTGACTAACAAATTTAATTATGGTTTTTGTGACAGAAATTAACACTGCGCCCTAACAGTTTTGACTCCATAAAAAGTTATATATAGACACAGACATACAGACCTACTGACTGACCTGTCATACATGAAAAAAGCCTATTGTTATACAGTAGAGCATAAAAACCCCCACTGTAAATCTCAAATCCAATTATATTACTCATCCACAACAGGACTTAATAGTTTCTCCTACTAACCCAATCCCATTTAAAGCCTTTGTGACAGAATTGTGCTCTAAATATAGCCTTCTCCACAGCTGCCTGATCACCGGATTTACTGCCTGAAAGCACAATTTATTGGATTAGTTATTGGACTGGATATATTTTCTTGGTCTTCAGGAACAGAAACCTTTCTGCCAGTCTAATTTTCCAACATTAAGCCTCCATTCTGTGTCCTGCACTCGCCCCCCGCCATCATTTCCTGTCTCTGCTTCTTTGAACATGCTTTTCTTTATTCTTTATTGCTTCAGAGGAAAATGAAAGTTGCTGTGTCGCATTTTGTTTCACTGAGCTTCTTGAATTTTCATGCCAAATGCCGCGACTATAATTACCTGTAATGAAACTAGTTTAAACTGTGACCACAAAGACTGCAAACACTCACACTGTCACGTTTGTGTAACCATCACTCCTCTAAATCTGCCCTTCTAGTATTCCTGATGTGATCAGTTTACATAAACATGACTGCTACTTCTCTGTAACATGTGACTCCCCAAATATCCCTTCGTGACATTCATTCTTTGTTCAGTTTCACTTCCTTGTTAGAAGCCCTCTATCTTTCTGTGTTTCTTTCCATCTCACCTGCTCGCAGAGGGAGCGGTAGCCGCTCTCTCTCCGGCGGTCCAGCTCATACGTCTCTCCCAGCAGAGGGTTGAAAGGCTTGCCCGTGCGGTAGACGGTGGTCGAGTAGGAAGAGACGGAGAAGGCGGCCACGTAGCACATTTGCTCCAGCGAACTCTGGCACTTGGCAGCCTTATCCAGCAGCTCATGGTACTCAAGGTCCTCCGACAACCGCTGCAGCATGGAAATGGGCTCGTTGAAGTTTACCTAGAGGGCAGAGTGATGTGGATGTGAAGTAATGGTTGCATTCTTCATCATTTATAGGGATGATCACATTTAGTTTGAAATGAACATTACTATTATCAGGGCCTTTCTACGCCGCTTACAGAGTGTACAAAATAAGATGATACACCGCATTTTTTATCCCAATAAAATAACACATTTAAAGATAAAATGTACTGATTCACACAGTAGTCCCTCACAATCGTCACTTATGATCCACTACCAGTGTGTGGCGATGTGTTTTTCCGCAGAGACTCTGCTCTCTGCCTGTATTGTCCTATTGTCATCTGATTTCGCAGTGTTCAGGATATTCCTGGACACAGCACACAGGTGTGATTAGGCCTTAACAAAAAGGTAGCAACTGGGTTAGCACATACGTCTATTTTGGTCTCCTAGAGTTAGCTTCAACCTGTATTTTGTTATGGTCTTCTTTTATGTTTGTGGCAAGCGATCATGTGTAGTATGCTTACAACACAACAAAGCAAAAGCAAAAACAAGTGCCAGGTTTGTGCTATAAATATAAATTGATATTATCAGTTTTCAGTGGAAGAAGCTGCGCTCAGCTCTGATGGCTGGTCTGACAAGAGCTCTTTAGTGAGGCAGGTGCAAGTACAGAAAACAACAACCAGTAAGTCTTAAATTAATGAAAGCAAGCATGGAAAAAAGGCACCATGTCTTCAGGTGAAATAATCTCATGTATTTATTCTTCAAGCAGAGGCAATTGCAAAAAGGGGGGGCAGAGTTGCCTCAACATTAAGCCAGCAGCGGAGGTAGTGCTAGCGCCCAATCAATGTCTGTGCGAAAGGGACAACTGGCAGGACAGGACCATGGATGGGACGGGTGTGACATTGTGACGACATACAATCCCCCAATCCCAAATGAATCCCTTACAGACTCGTTGACTCAAGCCCTAAGCCCTCACAGACAGAGGACCAATTCCATTTCTTCCCCTTAGCCCTTGTCTTGGCCCTTCCCCTTGGTTTTGCGTGTTCACGTGACGGGAAGTGGTGTCCCAATTCTCCATCAGGTTAGCTCTTAACCAGATTTAAAGGGGAACTATACCCATTTCCAAATTCCATACGTGTCATTCCTGAGGTCAAATAGAGTCCAAAAATATAAGTAAACCTCAGCAACTCTCTCCTGAACCCAAAAGACAGAATGCTGAAACTCAAATTTGTGATGTCACAGGGTATAAAGCTGCTCCATAGACAGTTTTTAGAACACATTAAAACTGTGGAGCCAATGAGGTCTGGGAGGTCTGGGAGCTCCTTACACTCTGAGCAGAGGCTGACATAAGCCGCCATGTTACAGAGATGGTAAATGACCGTTACTGCCATGTTACGCCACTGTTATTTTTCAGAATGCACTGCCTTGGTCTGTTAGATTGTCAATGCTTGACGAATAAATGTATGATGATTCTGTCTGCATTCATTTGAGACTTGCTGGACCTTGTTTTTTCTTATTATCAGTTATCTTTCTATATCTGCCGCGCTGACTGAACGATGCCGTTTCGGCAGCATAAGCATGACAGAGCAGAATATTGTGAAAATGACAAATCACTTCCAGATAAAGGAAACTAAATAAAGATCACAGATGTGAATCTACAGGTCCCTGAACATTTTAAAATAAACACACACAGCTTGTTTGTCAGTTCTCCCTCATTAAATCTGTCACTGGAGCTAATTAGACACTGATGTATAAGAATGTCGTTGACCCGGTACTGCAGCCATCGGGATGATCACCGTCTCGGCTGAACACACGTCACAGGAGCATGTCAGTGCCAAAAGTCTTTGATTTACATGCCTCACCTTAACATGCTGTTGTTAGCTTGTTAGAATCAGTGCCATTTAATGTGACCACACAAAGGCATTAAATGGCAGAGCAGAAGAGGAGGTGAAACTGGCCAGACCGACTAACAAACTTCCTGTGCGTCACACTTGATCTTGAGTAACCTTTGAAGAAAAACACTCACAGGCATGGGGATCTTGGACAGCTCTTTGCCAATACAGTTCTTCATGATACTCCACAGGTTGAGAGAGTAGTTGGGTTTGTCTGGGATGCGTGCTCGCCTCTTCTTCAGGGGTACCAGCTCCTGAGAGGGAGACTCCTGGTTCATCGCTAAAGGCTCCTCATTAAGCTATAAGACAGACAGTCCCGTCAATACACCGCACAATAGCTTTGGAAATACTTAAGCTTGTAAAACAGATTTTTCACAACATGTTTCTGATCTGATTTATTATAGTTTATAGCAGTTTTGAGATATCTACAACCCTGCTGCAGCTTTTCAATAAAACCTTGCATTTATATTCAGGATTAAAAAAATCATGGTAAACATTTTCATGAGATTTTAGCCGAAAAACAGTGAACAAGTCTTTTAACATTCATCCTAGAGGCCAGATCAGAACCTACCGATTGATCATCAGGACACATTTCACTGTTGAAACCGCTTATGTTACTGCTTGACCGTCTGTAAAGTGGTTAAAAAATAAAGAGACTCTGTCAGTGTCAGAAAGGTTTCTGGTTACACAAACAGCCATTTAAAACACACAAGGAAACGGAGCATAAACTGGTTCGACTGATACTGAGCAACCAACTCAATCAGGGGTTTTACAAATAAGGGAAGTGTGAGCCATCAGCCTGTCTGGCTTTATTATATCTTGTGCCAACTTCACACAAGGAAATGGGTTAAAGAAATATGTCAGAGAGACACTGGAGGCTTGGGGGAATTCACAAACGATTTCCTTGTATGACTTCTCACCCCACATGTAAACAAGCGCATGTGGGACGAGTGAGAGTGAGGTGAGTGCGCACTGACTTGTGGAACTGGGGATCTGCGGGTACAGTGATAAACTCGGGAGCCTCTTCCATGGCGTCAAAGAACTCGTTGTCGTCGTCCTCGTCGCTGGCCTCACCTTTTCCCGGCCCGGCAGCACCTTAGAAAGAAACACATCAGTCAGTGTTTCTAATATAGTGACTAAAAACCTGATTACACTTTTTTAAAGATATAGCATTTAAATTCTCCACGTTAAAATGTCTTAAAACGACAACACCTTGTGATGTGTACTTACATCATCCCAAACATTTCCAACAATGTTCAAACCCAGAGAAATCTGTACTTTTAATCAATTAATTTGGTTGCTGTCGCCTGTCAGTGGTGTCAAATCCCCTTGCAAATGCGCCAGGGTTGTCATAAATTTATTTTTAGACAGTTTTAAGTCATCTTGACAATACACTTTTAAGATCTTGGTCAAGAGTAAGCATTTTAGTCACTGGATTTTATGTTATTAGAGAAACAAGCAGAGCAAACATTAGTGGCAGCTCAGCTCCAGGCCCTGCTGTGCCAAACAAAATTAGATAAACACTGATATTTAACGTGAAATTGCTTTATCTTGTCTTTATCAGTTTAAATCATTGGGTCTGTTTGTTTTGGAGAGGAGGAGACCTCTGCTGATAACACAGGTCTCAATAAAAACCTCCTGAATGTCTGCATTGTAGGATATCAGGGAAAAAAGGTTAGTAAGCACTGACAAGACCCTGGGCCCCCAGCCCCTTTGTGATGAGCCAAAACGCTGATTTTTAATGTGAAACTTCTTTATTCTGTGGTTTTACTGGTTTAATCACCTGACCATTTGTTTATGAGGTTTATAGGCATGTGGATTCTCACATCTGTAAAGACTTACACAAAAAAACTCAGTAAAATAAAGATACTGGAGTAGAAAAAGGAAGGACTCTCCTGAGTGCAAAGGAAGAAGAATCAGTCAGGAAACAAGTGATCATATCCAAACTGCAGCTTGGGAACTTGCTTGGAGTCACGTCTTACTTTTGTTGTCTGCAGTAGCGTTAGCCTGTGCAGCTCCTCTGAACGCTCGCTCCAGGTGGTTGTGCTGCTTGGCCAGTTGCTCTAAAGTCTCCTCCAACCTGACTCGCTGGTCCCGCTCTGCCTGAAGGGCCTTCTGCCATCGCTTGCTGTGAGCCTGAGCCAGCGCGAGGAAGTCTCTGCACGCCTGAGCGGGAAAACATAAAACAGGGTCAGACCAGAACAACTGAAACCCCTGATCCAATTAATACGAGCAATTTTGGCCGGGTAATTTGCTGTGCAGATTGCACAGAGTGTAGATTCACAAAGCCCACTCTCATTTCCACAGAAATAGATATCATGAGAGAAGAGGCTACACCTACATTAATCATGGCGTTAGAAGTGATGCGGAACAGCGTGGCCCTCTCTGTCACCTGGCGAATCTTATCCCCAGCCTCTCCAGTCAGACGCAAACTGTCCAGTTCTGATAAAGACCTGAAGTGAACATCAAAGTGTCAAACATGGATAAACAGCTGGGACAATATATCATCAAATTACAGAGTAAAGGGCCATTAACCTGAGATTTAATGGTTTTATTACTCTAAAACTTTTTGTTTTTTCTGTTAACTGCAGTATTTTTTCTTAATCAAGGCTGCCTGCTCTTTTGTAAATAGTGCAACACCACACCCAAACTCAATATGTAAATTCCAAAGCAAGAGTAACATGCAGCAGTAAAGTTATATTCTAGACATAAAGATATTACTTTAAAAGTAAATTGCATTATCATGTCAAACATTAGTAAACATCAGTGGATTTTTAGTCCTAATGTTTTGGATTCTTCAGTTGAGATAAAAGTTAAGATACAAGAGACATGAGAAACTTTGGACTGACAAAGCGGGAGTGAAGCAAACAGAGAGCAACAGAGTGTTAAAGCCTGACCTCTGGAGGGCAGAGCCATGCTTTGAAATTAGGTCGTTGCACGTGCTGAGATCCTCCACCTTGCTGCCTAGTGTTCTGAGAGCAGACTGAACCTCTGAGTTCTGTGACCCGCCACCTTGTCCGGGCGCCGCCGGTGGGGACGATGGGGAAAAGTCGTCCCCCGAGTCATCTGTTAATAAGCAAAGCAACAAGGAAGCAAAAAAAACATCAGCTTAAAAAAGCCTTCACAAACATCTGCCACTCTCATAACACTCTCTCAGGTTCACAAAGCACTTTTTTCCATCTGCCTGTGTGTTTGTATGTTTTACCTGACTCAGCCTGCATGCGGGCCGCCTTGGCTTTGGCCAGTTCCAGGGCAGTGATCCAGCGCTGACGTTCCACTTCACAGCTGGCCTTCAGGTGATACGTCTGTGCCCCGCCATTGGAGATGACAAAGTTGCAGGCGTCATCCACAGTGATAGTCGCCGTGGCCAAGTTGATTGTGCCTCTACACGTGTGGCCCATCTCCGCCTGGGTCCTAATAATCAAAGGAGATTGAGCCAAGAAGAAAATACACCATACACCAATACTGACGGGGAAATCATATTAAAATAGAAAAGAAATATCGATAAGGTGAGGTTGACTGTTTCCTGCTTAATCAACAGCTATTTGGGTGTAAGTAAACATTACTGACAGCAGATCAAGGCAGACTGATTTCTCTGGTGACATGATCAAAGCTATGTCCTTCCTTACTTTTATCTGTTCTACAAGAAAAGCATACCTGTAGTATGACAGCAGCCCATTGCTCAGGACAAACCACCTCCGCTGATAACCCTTGATGTAGTTTGTCCACTTGAACACCCATCCTTTGTATGTGTCGCCAGCAGGAGTGGGAGTGGGGGTCTTGGGCTCCGACATCACAGCCCCCAAAATCGAGATATAGATTTGAGGAACCTTAAAAGGAAAATGAAAGTCCGAAGTCTTAGAAATGACACAACTGTGTGTGTGTGTGTGTGTGTGTGTGTGTGTGTGTGTGTGTGTGTGTGTGTGTGCTCTCACATAGGGCTGAAATTATAAAACATTTAGTGGGTCAGCATAAAATTAATCACAAACCATTTTAACTAATTTTTAAGGCACAAATGCAACAAATTCATTGATCCATGCTTCTCAAATGCTCATATTTGCTAACGTTCTTGATGTTCTGTGGTATTAAACTGAGTATCTTTGGATGTTAGACTGTTAATCCAACATGCAGGACGTTTCAATATGTCATCATGGCCTTTGTGGAACTGCAGTAGGCCTTTTCCCCCTATTTTCTGACATTTTGAGGCTGAAATGATTAATTCACAATGAAATTATTTGTTCGTCAAAGCCTTACTTTAATGCTGAACCATCTCAGCATTGTATACTAACGTTACACTAATATAATTCCTTACTGGTGGTTGATATTGATCTTTCAGTGTGGAGTGACAGGTCAAAGATTAACCATGGAGTCAATACAGATCCACTGCTGTTATATTTTACTTGCAAAACTGGAGCATAAGCTGGAAATAGATGTGCATAAAAGAGGGTGTGACGTGTTTAAAACACGTTAATGTGATTTTGACTATTTACTTATACACTATATATCATTATTTAACACAGATGGCAAGCTTTTAAAATGTGCTATTATTATCTCAGGTACATGTGACAGTCGTGCAAGTATTTTGAACAAAGAAAACCAGATGATAACAACATAAACTGTGTAAAACCCCTGACATATTGATGAGCTGACACCCGAAGCTAGCCGACGTTAGCGCCAAGGCTAGTGGGAGTCTCGGGTAATAACAGCTCATTGCTCGAACAGGAGCTAAAGTAAAGAAACACCAATTTGACACGTTTGCTCGAAATACACCGGCTGACAAGTGCATATTTACAATGCGACTCAAGCAAGATACGCCGCTCAACAATCGTTAGCTTGCTAGCTAGCTTTCAAACTCGTCAATGGCTAAATGTTTACCTTGACGTGTCCGAAATGTGAGATCAGGCAACCAGACACCCGGTGAAGTCACGGCTAACTTTGACACCCATACGCTACTGTATCGAGCTAACGTAGCTAACTGACCAACACTGGACAGCTAATGGTGAAAATAACTAAGCAGAAGACGTCGACGACAACTGCAGTGTGGTTGTAAAATAAAGTGACACCAACGACTTTCCTCAGTATCCCTCAATAATCGTGTGTATAATGTTCATTCTACAGCTGCGTACGCCGACAAGAATCTAAAGCTAGCTAGCTACATCTAACTAGCCTAACGTTAGCTCGTTGGTTACACCCGGTGCAACACAATTTGGTCTCGTCTAGAAACAAACAGTTAGCATTAGCTACATTGTTTTCCCGATTGGCTGCTTCAAGCTAACAGTTTAGCCGGATGAAACTAGCTTTTTTGGCCTTCAAAGTAATAGTACATTGTGTCAGTATTTGGGTAGATTATGTATTATTATTATTTATATTATATGAATTTATCATATGATTTTACATGTAAAAAGCAACGATAAGTATAAGCAAATATAGTGAATTATAAAGTACAGCACTTGGGTCTGGTGTTTTTTTTTGTTTGTTTTTTTTTAATCCCGAGAATGTTATATTTTGAAGGACACCACCGGAAACCAATTTGATTGTATCTTGCTAACTTAACACCTCCAGCTGATTATTTACTGCTAACTAGCAAACTTAGCGAACGATAACTTTCTCCTCGCCAGCTACATAATGTAAAATTAATTTAAACTACAGCATAACATTTATCACGCACTCATTACAGAAAGTAGTACTCAGTTGTGTTGACGCTGGGTTGCATGCAAATAAAAAAGTCAAAGTTAACCTGACTTAAGTGTAAACTGGATTTTTGATAGTTCAAGCATCCAGTCTATGCTAGAGAGGAACAGCTAACACGTACCAACTGGCGATCATTTGCGAACAAAAAATGCGACTCCGGTGGGACTCGAACCCACAACCTTTGAATCACTTCACCTCAGCCTAGAAGTCCAATGCGCTATCCATTGCGCCACGGAGCCACCTGTTGCATAGAGGCCACGTCACTGTATATAAAGTACATATGGTACTGAAATATGACATGAATATGGTTTACATGTGAGGCCGTTTTGTTTTGTTGCCGTTTGTGTAGCGAACACCGCCGTTCGCTGCACCAACTTTAAAACACCACTTTACTGGGAACAAATAATGAACCTGCATTGTGCCATGTTGAACACTGGGTGGCGCTGTAGGGCCACTGACACATTGAACACATTGGTTCTGCCAAAATAAAATGCCATTACAATTGAAATAATAAAAATGTAAGAATAAAGACAAAACATTCGCGTTTTAATAGAAATTCTGTATTAAAATTAGTGATTTCGTTACAATATATTATTGTGTCTTGTTACTTTTTTTTAAATAAAATATTTTATACTGACTAAACTTTTGCGAATTATCTGTCCAAGTGTTACAGCAGAAACACTGAAACGCGTCCGACTTGCCGTAACTTTACCATGGCAACATGGTAAATGTGATTTACGAGCGTTTGGTTTGCGAGGTGCATTACGGCAAACAAGCTGTCGTAAAATGTTCCTTTGTTAAACGTACAACCATCTTTATCTTTCAAAGTCAGTTGACGCTTGAGTCAAATGTGATTTTATGCTCCAGCCTCTTTGTGAAAAGTTACAAAAGTCGTATCTTCAAAAATAAGTGTATAAAGAAAAAAGATGCTTTTTTTTTTGTTTCACGCATGCGCAGTAAGGTGCAACTGGACACCACATATGAATGATATTTTAATAATTAGGTGGTTCGGTCATTAAAACTAGCTTATATTTCATTGCTAATTCAAGGCATATTTGGCAGGTGTAAACACATCCGGTGTGTCAGACAGGAATGTGGATGTAGACGGATGATGTCCCTCTTGACTCCTGCGTGTCTTTGATATATCCTGCCATGAGCGGAAGTGTCTGGGATTCTGCCGAATCCATCCTTCAAATCAGCCGTTTGTAAAGGGAGACGGGGGCGAACACCGTCTGCATTTCTTCCCACACCACCACCACCACCACCACCACCATCAGCTTGGCTCCATTCAGCGTCGCTGTGCACCATTTAATGTAGACATATCTCAGCACGGGACATGCGCTTTCAGGTTCGGCTTTTACTACAGCAGACATGCGTAATTACTGAGTAACCAACATGAGAATAGCTGCAAATTCTGCAACAAAACGAATATGTGCTTAATTCTAATGGACGTATTTTGTTATAGGTCTGCGCAATCGACGTGAACGCCTGCCTGGACACAGGAGAGGATTAAGTTACTGCTGCTGGCGGCGGATTATTTTATTGGCCTCCTCCTGTCACGCCCGAGTCTTTGGTGATCCTTTTTCCAATTAGGAGAGGTCGAAAGCCAGGTATGCTGTTGTGCTCCGGACTCATAACCCTGCCATTTCCTCCAAATGTCTTATTCTGGGATAAACTACGCATTGCTGCGCGTCCTTTGTTGCTCATGCCTGTAGTTACTCTTTGCGAAATCTACATTTCCTCGCACTGTGTGCAGACAACAATAGAAACCCCAGCATAAATTATGTAAAATACTATGTGGGTATTTTGCAACAGTATAATATGAAATTACAAGCTTCCTAATGTTGTAGATCACTATTTAGTACATAAATACCGATGGATGTGTGACAGTCTTGGGCTCTGCTATACAAAGGTGCAGGGATGTGCCTCACAAGCTGCTGTGAACAAAAATGGAGCCTGTCTACCTGCTAAAATACAATTTGCTTTGACAACTGTGAAGCGTTAGAGAGATGGCATATAGGGTTACTGGCTCCCCTGCCTCAGCAGCTCGGACTGCCCAACCCCCTTCCCCTCTCTGCCACAGCATGTTTTGGTTTCAGGCGGATCATGCCCTTTTGTCCACTGGAGCCTGACTGTACTTTTCAGGACAGACTCCCAGTATGAAAGAATTTGCCTGCTGTTTTGACAGCCCCCTTTTCTCTCTCGCTAACAACCCCTAAAGATGTTAAGGATTGGCTGAATGAGCTGTAAAGTAACTGAATGTGTATGGATCTTAATTAGCTGTGCGCAGATGCATAATGCTAGAACAAAGTTAAGTTGCTCTGCTTTTTAGCAACTGCAATGACTAAAGCGATCATTTTGCATGTGTGTGTAGTTAGTTTTTATGTCCATGTCAATCATTAAACCCATCCCACATGGGTTTACAAACTATAAGCTATTTATCAAACCTCACAGGTTGGACAAGTGCTGCTGTATACATTCACATAACACATGCAAATCAGAACTGTGGGAGAAAAAAAAAGATATGCTTAGAGAAAACAGTTTTTTATCCAAAAACAAAGAATTGTGTGGGTCCTAGTGAAACACATTTAGAAAATCAAATCTTCCATACCATTACGGTGCCACATTGAAGACACTTGAGCAGTGCCTGGAATTGTGAATTCAAAGGGGAACACCACTTAAATGAAGAATTGAAGGATGTTATTTCCATGGCCAGGAAAGTTCCATTATTTGTGAACGTGAGCTCCTCTCTCTCAAAACCAGAAACCAGAGATGTCTCAAACCTATGATGTCATAGGGTATAAAGTCTGGAGCTGCTCCATAGACAATGAATGGGAGACTGATTTTGTGGACCCACAGATTCTTTTTGGTTTCTACACCCAAATGAGCTTTACTCTATTGTAGTGTTCACAGTTCTGAAAGAGAAAATGTCCCCATGTACTCAGAGCATTCCTCTGGCTGTTCTCAGTGTCATCTAGATCAGTGGTTTCGAACTGGTTCAGCCTCGGGGTCCAGATTTCTACTTTGTCATTAGTTCAAGGTCCAACATTTTAATATATTCAGCATCACACTTGTGTTTGGCCATGTCGTCGAGGTAGTTTGTTGTCTCTGTCAAGTAGCTGTCTGTTAATCATTCACTCTACAGCAGGAAACGGCATCTCAAGATAAAAGCTCTGTGCTGGAATTGTATTGTACTAAAAGATAAAGTGCGTATTTTTACAAACTTGACACATTTGCAAGTCACTTGCGGTCCATTCAGAATGGACCCACAACCCACTTTTGGACCACGACCCAGTTGGGTCTAGATCTTTCCAAATTCCTCGTCTATGGAGCAGTTCCAAACTTAATACTCTATGACATCACAAATTTGACTTTTAGCACTCTAATTTTTAGATTTGAAAGTCACTTGTTCGTTTTTACTTATATTTTTAGACTGTTTTGGACTTAAGGAATAACATGTTTGCCTTTTTGTAAATTGGTGATATTCCCCTTTAGTAGCCCTAAAACATTTTAATATCAAAGATCCCAACCCCAACTGTGGGTCAACAGAGCTTCATGGGGAGTTGCGAGGCATTCTTTATTTTAAGTGGTGCAAGAAAACTAGTATTGACTGAAACAATTAGGCCTAATCAAACATTTTAAAATCATTGCACATTTATTTAAAGTTACGACAGAAAGTATTAAGTTCCTCTTTGCTTTCTTGTTTTCATCACTGTTTTCAGGTGTTTGTGCCACATCACTCACTGGTCATGTTTGTCCTTTCTCCACAGACATGTCTTTCAGGCGAGGTGTGGTCAGGCAGAGCAAGTTCCGCCACGTCTTCGCCCAGGCGTGGAAAGCTGAGCACTGCATCGATGATGTCCGAGTGTCCCGCGTGACGTGGGACAGCCCCCTCTGCGCCGTCAACCCCAAATTTATCGCCGTTATCATCGAGGCCGGCGGAGGAGGGGCCTTCCTCGTTGTTCCGATCAGCAAGGTTCAGCCCCGTCTGCATCACATTCAGCGTCAAATAAACAGTGGATCAATATGATTTAAAAGCCTGTTTCCTGTGTTCTACTCTGATGCTAAAAGCAATATGTCAGCAAGTGAGGCCTCGCTCAATGTAATGCTTTTACAGTTCAAAGTCAGATAGTGGACAAAGGTTATAGTCCTGTAGTGTGTTAAAGTTTCTCCAGTCAGCTGCCACAGTGTCGTGATTTTAACTTTTTGTTTTCTCCCACAGAGCGGCAGGATCGATCAGTCCTGTCCCACGGTGTGCGGCCATGCAGCACCAGTGCTGGACATCCAGTGGTCTCCTCATGACGACAACATCATTGCAAGTGCCTCAGAGGACTGCACAGTAAAGGCAGGTTTACACTGCTGAGGCTTTTCAAGCTTGTACGCAGGTGGTTTTGTGGCCCTTCATCAGTTATTGGTGTCAAACATTGTCACATGACATAGGTAACCCTCATCACAGTGTGTAAACTGGGTTTACACACTCTCTCTTCTCCAATTAAAGGAAGTGACATATTGTTGCTCATAGTTTCCTGGCCTGTGACCCCCAAAAGTTCTGCTGTTATATATTAATACACGGCATAAAACACCAGTAGCTCTGGTAGCACCTGAATGGAACACATTCACAAGTTAATGTCTGCTGTGTCTGGTGGTTTGAAGGTGTGGCAGATCCCAGACGGGGGCCTGACGAGCCCGATGACTGAGGCCATTGTGACCCTCGAGGGACACAGTAAGCGAGTTGGAATCCTGGCTTGGCACCCAACTGCCTTCAATATCCTCCTGACTGCAGGTAACACCATTTATGATATCCTGGTGCCACATAATTGGTCGCAGAAAACTATTCGGATTGTGTATGACTGTTTGAAATATAACTTGGTCAGACGCTGCTCTTTTACCTGTGCACTGCAGGGAGACAGATTGAGCTGTACCACCATGCAACAAGACCAGTGTGCTTTATGTGTTGTTTTACATACATTTACATAAACACAAAAAGAAGGGTGTGTGCAGGCAGACCTTCTCACAGGAGGTTTATATATATATCATGTAGAGTGAAGTTAAAGAGTTTTTCAATTCACTGAAACTACTAAGAACTTAAAAAGGTTTAAATTTGATCATATTACCATCAATGGGTTTTAATCTTGAGAATTAATTTTTGTCTAGGCCCCTTTGTAAACTAATATTACCATCATGGGGCTTTTATTTTGAAAATCAAGCCCTGTCCAGTACCTCCAGTAAACTCCTGTTACCACCTACAAGCTTTTATTTTAAAATCCAGCTCCCTGAATGTTAAATGCTGATAACCATGACCAACATGTCTGCCAACAACACGCCGGTTATGTCATCCATGTGCTAAACAGGGAAAAGTGACCCATCCGCTTGTAAACAGTGAGAGTTGAAGAACAGCTCTTATCTTACTGTGTTGGTGTTCAGTGACAGACAGTTCGAATACTGCTGCATTATACAAGCAAGGAATTGGATTTCCAAGTGATTAATAGCGTGCAATGCAAGTTTAAAGGAGAACGTGATACACTAGAAAAATAATTACACTTTGCTGCAAAGCTGTTAGATGTTGTTTTATCTTAGAAAATAGTCATATGTGTATACCAATGCACATACTCTAGTAGGCTTTGGTGTGCAAGAGCTTAACCTCTAACTATAAAGATGTGTATAAAAAATTGAGCAAATCATGGAGTTGGAGTTGGTGTCAAATATAAGAAACTAAGCAGGTGCATCAGCTCTGAGCATTTATACTTGTGCAGTGGTGTGTCTGTGTCACTCTGCAGTTGCACCTCCAAAACACTCGTGGGCGGAGGACGTTTCTGTGAAGTGCTGTACAGTTTAGTTGATTAAAAACACACCCGAAACACACATTAAACATGGCTTAATAGAGACCATTTCAAACACAAGTACACAAATCAGCTTCACTATTGAGGGAATTGCATTGTTGTTAACAAACACTTCGGGTAGAAAACCAGCAGAGTTTAGTGATATATATATATATATACACACACATATATATATATCACATTTTTCACGTCACTATATCACCGTTTAGACTAATCTGGTGTTTGTAAAGTCTATAAACACAATGATTGAACAAAAATTACTATTTCTGTTTGCGCGTTTTGTAATTAATAACATGGTTATAGTAGATTAGCTGGGCTAACCGTTAGCTGTTAGACCCGTTAGCAGTGTCTGTAATGACTCATTAACTCAATGAACGGTCCGTGAAAAAAATATTTTTTCCAGCGGATTTCTTAGTTACAACATGATTGAGCTAACTGGAGTAGTTTCATGTCGTATCCAACAACGGGAGGCCTTTAACAGATGACGTCCTGATGTTAGCTTTGCTGCTAGTGTTAGCTGGCCCTGTCAGCTGCAGCCACTGATGCTTTCTAGACATCGTGATTTCCTAAAACTGAATAAATACCACACATAGCAACACAAAACTGCTTTGCTAGCTCAATCATGTTGTAACTAAGATATCCACTGGAAAAACTAATTTTTTCACAGACCGTTCATTGAGTTAATGAGTCATTACAGACACCGCTAACGGGGCTAACAGCTAACGGTTAGCCCAGCTAATCTACGATAACCATGTTATTAATTACAAAATGTGCACACAGAAATATTAATGTTTGTTCAATCATTGTGTTTATAGACTTTACAAACACCAGATAAGTCTAAACGGTGATATAGTGACGTGAAAAATGTGAGCTATATATACAGCGCTAAACTCTGCTGGTTTTCTACCCGGAAATATTTGTAAACAACAAGGTGATTCCCTCTATAACTCGCAACATTCACAGACAAAGCACTTGTCTTTATCTGGACACATTTTCCCCACAAATACAACATGCTAACATTATTAGCACAAGCCGATGGCATTTTACATTGTATAAATTAGCCTAGCAGCTAGTGATCTTTTTCTCTTCTCTCTTTAAGAGAACTGACTCATCCTTACAGTAAAGTAATCCTACTTTGCCGAGTCTCCCAGATCTCTGTACTCAGGCTTCAAATTGTGTCTCTATATCTGTAAAGGTTTATCCCTCTGTCTCATCTGTCTGCTGCCTCTTTCACCAGTCAGACACACCACTCTGATCTTCAGAAACCCACACTGGCTTCCTGTTGTTTTCATAACTGTACTCATGTACATCTTACATCTCAATTTCAGATCCTCCTCTTGGCATGCAAAGCTCTTAGTGGCATTGCTCAGTAGATATGAGATATGCTCCTTCTTTATAAACTCAGCCAATCACAATGCACAATGCACCAGATCACTTTTATGTACATGCATTTAGCAGTTATGCACTTTAAGAATTGATTGATGTGCCATACTCCCTCCAGGCTGCGATAATTTGATCTGTGTGTGGAACGTGGGCACGGGGGAGCTTGTGTACCAGCTGAGTGATGCCCACCCAGATGTGATCTACAGTGTCAGCTGGAACAAGGACGGCAGCGCTGTCTGTACTGTGTGCAAGGACAAGGCTCTGCGTGTCATCGACCCGCGACGGGGCACCGTGCTGAAGGTGATTTCACATTTCTTCAGATGCACACCAAAGAAGTTATACAACACTACATCGTGCATGCACACATCCTGCCAGTGGCTCGTTTGCTGTGTTGCTCCCACATGAGTCCTTCATCAGTCTCTTATTGTTCTCCTAGGTGAAAGAGAAGGTCCATGATGGCACCAGGCCAATGAGAGCTGTGTTCCTCTCAGATGGGAAGATCCTGACCACAGGCTTCAGCCGTATGAGTGAGAGACAGATGGCATTATGGGATACGGTAAGTCTTACCAGTTACCTTCATATTTAATGATTCTGCAGTGTACTGTTGATGTTCAATGCCAACATTCAGTGTCAGTCTAGGAAGTAGTGCACAATACCCACATCACTTACATTGGAAGGACTTTATGAAGGAATCTAGTATGAAGAAGACCTCTTTTTACAGCAGACAAAAAGTTTCAGTGCTCATACGGGCACCTGATAAAACTTGCCTAACCTGTCTAACCCTCAGCATTCCATAACCATTGGTGTTGTGGGAAAGCTATTCAATATAAAATTATTTGAATGCCATTGTGTGTGATAATAGTGACTGTATGAATGTATGATTCATCCATGGCCATGGTTAGGTATTTTCGGAGGCCTCGGAGTCCTTCGCTGTCTGTGTGCAGGCATGTGACGAAGCTCCAAGGTCTCTGAAGGTTAAGATTTTGTAAGATCAAGACCTTGTAGATGTTTAGACTCCAGTGTGAGACAGCTCTGTATAATGAGTGATATGGTATGGTTGGCATGGCTGTGTCTACACATACATGCTCTGCCAAGATCTTCAGATTCAGACCAGCCTCTTTGCCAGCAGTTGGAGTCTCTCCTCTCTCTAACTACTTTAAAATATCTTTGATTCAGAGTGAGAGGAGGTCCTGTAACCTGGTGCAGTTTGGAGAAAATAGAAAAGTTTTTTAGTATCAGCATTAGCAATTGATTTTCCATTACACAAAAGTTGCAAAATGTTTGCACACTGTCAGTCATAGTTCTTGTGGTGGGTTGAATGTACATACTCTATGCAAGCAATTACATTGCAGTTACAAGTAGCATTAAATCAATGTTTCTTTCTTTTTACAGAAGGATCTCTCCGAGCCAATGGCAGTGCAGGAGATGGATACAAGTAATGGGGTTCTTCTACCCTTTTATGACCCTGACACGAACATGGTCTACCTGTGTGGAAAGGTATTAACTCGACATTGTGCAGAGAACAAAGATTTACTCAAGTGGTAAATTTGTGTCAGTTCACATTTTTGGTTCAGTTGTCTAAATTAGATTATCTTTCAGGGGGACTGCACCATCCGGTATTTTGAAGTGACAGACGAATCCCCCTATGTTCACTTCCTCAGCTTATACAGCAGCAAGGAGCCTCAGAGAGGTGCAGGCTTTCTTAGTAAAAGAGGTGTCGATGTCAACAAGTGTGAAATTGCCAGGTAAATATGTTTGGTCATGTTTTCTTTTTATATTGATCTTGATAAATGTTGCCCATGTAGCCAAAGCCTCATATAGCATTTGGAGACATGTTTTCGGTGTTGGTCTTTTCATAGGGTTTGGTTGCATTTTTAAAAACGTAAAATGCAGCAGCCTTATCCTTTTACGAGATTATACAAATTTCCTGGTCTTCTCTAGATTCTACAAACTGCATGAAAGAAAGGTGGAGCCCATTTCTATGACTGTACCGCGAAAGGTAAGCCCTGCACAGCCTTTAAAACAAATCAGGCAATATTAAATTAAACAGTTTGTATTACTTATGATTTTCTATAAGGAATTAAAAGCATGCATGCCCAGGGAGTCTATACGTAACTGTAATTAAATTCTGTCTCCATCTTGCCTCCGCAGTCAGATCTGTTTCAGGGAGACCTTTACCCGGACACAGCCGGTTTGGAGCCGGCGCTCCTGGCTGATGAATGGATTGCTGGGCAGGATGCACCACCCCTATTGGTCTCTCTTAGCGGTGGGTACTCAGCTCCTCCATCCAAGCACAGAGACACCCTCAGAAGCAAACCCAAGCTCGTCTCACAAGACTCTGGGACTGGGGCCGCCCAGCCTTCAGCAGGAAATGCAGCAGCTCCCACACCTACATCTACATCTAGCTCTGCTGCCAAGGAGACAGAAGAAGAGGTGCCACAGCCACGAGTAGCCACAAGGGAGACAGATGGAAATGCTGAGAGGCCGAAGAAAGAGGTGAGTTGACAGAATGAGACACGTTGACCTTACTAATGTTTTTAAATGCTCAAAGTTCAGACTTGTTCCTTTTCTCCTCCCTTCTTTCAGGAGGATCTGTTGAACGAGTTGTTAGCAGAAATGAAGGCGTTGCGTGCAGTCGTCCTCGCTCAGAGCCAGAGGATCGAGTTGCTGGAGAGGCAGCTGGCTCGGATTGAGGATGGGGATGTATGAGGAGGGCGGAAGAACCACTACATTCAGAGGGCTTTCTTACTAAATCCATAGACCATAGCCTTACTAGAATCAACAGTACCTTAAGCTGTGTGAGTGGAAGAATGTAGTGTAGGGTTGCGACTAACTGTGAATCACAGTGGCTTACCACCAGGTCATTTATTGTGATGAAAGCAAGACCACAATTTGTTTCCGTGATTGTTTTCCAGACTGTGGCTGAGAACGGGGTGTCATCTGCATAGAGTTAAGTCTGACAGTGAGATAATGTTTTGTTTTTCATATGAAGGAGTATTGTAGCAGCTTTTTGGTGGTGCATATCGTGCAGCTTTGAGCTTTGCAAAATCCTTACGCTAATTTTGAAGGGCTTTGAAGGCATTACAGTGGCACCATTGCCTCAAGTTACTGCACAAAGTAGTGATAAAAGCATTATATTAAAAGCTAATGAAGGTTGACATACTATAGCAAAGCGATGAAGTACCTCCAATATGATTTTCTTTCTCCAAAGCACTCACAAATGTAACCATTAGGGCTATTTAATCAGGTAGTTAAAGCTGCTAAACTGTGATGTCATATCAAACCCCCAATTGTTAACTCATTGTGTGACTTGTGCTTTGTTTTACTACTTAATTATGTGTAAGGTTAACGGTAGAAGAATCTTCCGGTACACAAATCAGTGACAGTGAGAATTATGGGACTGATAGCTGGTGGGAGTGTAGGTGAATATTTATGTGTATCGTAATTCTGTGTAGTCTTTGCAGGTAACACTTGTGATTTTGTACCTCGTGTTATGAGGAAAGAGCTGCGGCAGTGTGAGGTTTTCTGTAACATCACAAGGCAAGATATTTGGTCCACATTAGGATATAAACACAGAAATGCTTCCCTCTTTCCTTCTTTTGACGTGTGGAAAGGCTGCAGTATCTGGTGCCCTCTGAAGAACCAGGATTTTGAGTTTAGTTGTTGCTTCTGGATATATGGTTGAAGTTGTGCTATATAGTAGCATACAGACATAACCCAACACTAGTTAGAGTGCAGTCACACTAAAACACACTAGATTTATCCAGAACAGCAGTTCAGAAAATCATTTGCAGCCAGAAGAAAGAAAGTTGCAGTGAAATGAGAAATATTTTCTACAGTTTTCATTTATATTGGTGTTAAAGAAACACTTAACCCACAAAATGATCATTTGTATATAAATACTCGAAAACATTTTGCTAGCTTGCCACAATGGTGAACGAAGAATCCAAAAACAGAAAATTCTTGATGAATTGGACTAAAGTTGGAGTTGAACAACAACTGCAAGACTATATAATAACATCTGTTTACGAACTCTTGACGCAACTCCTGCAGCATAATCCTAAGTCTCATTTATAGGAAGATAGGATACAAAGCAAATCAAAGTTGGAGGATTGCGGATATAAAGAGTGCAAAATTTAAAAAGACAAACAAAACAGGAAATGCAAAATTTAAAAACTAGGTACCACTAAGGTGGAAATAAGGTGCAATCCGATAAATAAAATGCCAGTTGTTAAAAGCTGCCCCCTTTTACTCCAATTCATCGAGAATTTTCTGTTTTTGGATTCTTCGTTTACCCTGGAAATTTTTTATCCCAAATCCAAGGCAACACTTGGTAAGTAATTACTATACACATGATCCTTTTGAGGGCGAAGTATTCCTCTAAAAGGTGGAAAGATCTTTTAGATTGTTTTTTTATTTTAGTTTTGTGTTTTTTGCAATTACATTTAGAGGCATTTTTCTGTCACCTCTGTCTGTCGATGATCGTGTAATAATAATGGTACATTCCACATGAAACTTATCCCTTTATTACTTTATTGATTTATATTCCTTTGTGCACTGACCTTTTAACACTAACTGTAAAACCAGTAGCAGTTTAAATGAGACTCCAATGTGAAACTCAATAAACATTCATTCCTTCCTTTGTATTTATGCTGTGGCTTTTTATTTATACTAAAGAAATGTTGTGATTGTAATCTTACATTTGTGGATATGTGATAATTACTTGGCCAAGTAATGTTTGGATAGCATACATGTGTGTGAGTGTGTTGTGCCAAGCAACTGCTGCCTACAATAAATAGACATATGCACACACACAAAACACATTGCCTCCATATAAAGGACGCAACACCTTGAAGATTTCTCACATTTTATGTTGGCTTTTTTTTTTGGCATTTGTCATCTGAACTTCTCATGCTCTATAAATATCCTTAAGGTGTCTCATAAACTGAATCAGGGTTCACAAGTGGCAAATTAAATTGACTGGAAGAAATGACGAGGTCCCACAGATGACGGCAGATGCCAGGTTAGAAACTACAATTAAGTGATGCTGTCTGTAGCTTTTAGAGAGAAACCATTTAAGAAGTATTGGAGATTGAAAGTAGTGCAGCCGTCTCCATGATTAGTTGGGACTCTCGTCTTTAGTAGGTCATCTAAACAAACTGAGCAACCAACCAAGAAGGGCACCATGACATAACAGCAGACACTGGCATGCGTGAAAGACTGACAGCAGGGAACCAGTTCAGGTCAACTATAGTATGCCATGAATAGCTGTGGTCTGACAAAACAAAAACTAAACTTTGCAGACTGCAAAGTGTTACATCGAGGCACACGAGCCACCACAAGGCAGTAAAGTGGCTGGTGGTGGTATCGTGAGTAATGGTGTAGTTTAGATAAACGAGATAACAGGATATTACACAGCTTCAGTGGAATCCTCGAACTCAGTCCAGCTAAAACCCTGTTGCATGTGACTTAATGATAGGTGGTCCAGCTGCTAAATGACCAAACAGCCATTTTGTTTGGCCCTGTTTCCACTGAGCAGTATAGTACGGTGAGGTTCAGTTCGGTACTTTTTTTCTCCACTGTGAAAAGTTGTGGATGGTACCAATGGAACCGTTCCATACTGTCCCCATTTTTGGTCCCCCCTCTGTTGGGGTACCTGGCACACAGATCTGATACTAAAAGGTGGAGCTGTGAACACTGCAGTCTGTTGATTGGTCAGTAGAGGACAGTCACTCTGCTCAGGGCTGAGCTGTGGCTGGTTTCATGTAACCACTGTTCATACCATGGAGAGTTTTAGTAGACTTTAACTATAAAATAAGGAATGTTTTGCTTAACCTAATTCACTGGGCCGACTGCTGGCAACTTTTAAGGTGGAACGTTAACTTGTCATGTTACGCAATGCATGAGTTGATGACGTGAATCAATCAGCACATCTTAACTTTCACTGTGACAACTTTGACTATTACTTTAGTTTTTATATGACACACTTTTAGTAATGAGTGGATCTTCAAGTCTATATATAATTTAATTTCGACCGGGTTATTTTAAGGCATATATTCTAATCCTCACCAACACTAAGTCCCTGAACTTGCCTGAGAAGGACTAAATGCACAAACCGCTGCTTTTAACATCTCATGGTGAGATGCAGCCAGTCTTATTTTGTTCTGAAAATGTTGGTGTGCAGCCACGTTCTGTGGACGATAAACAAGGTGCAGACAAAGGAGGAAATACAGTGAGTGCTGGACGGAGCAGTGAGTGACAACAACCCCGCCCACATAAAGAGTACTGTTTGTGGTGGAAATGCTAGGGTCTAGGTACCATGTCTGAAGGGTTACTTTGGTTCCAAAGGTACCATACTGGAAGTGTTTGATGGAAATGGGGCTTTTGTTTCCCATTTCTAGAACCAGGGCTGTGTAAAAACACCTGAAGAATCCTGTACTATTGTGATGAAACTTCCTTAACAAAATCTGTCCCCAGAAAGACAGACATATAAACACCTGGCAAAGAACTCCCTGCTATACTTGGTTTTTCCACATTTTGCCATGATCACACACACACACACAAGGCGAGAACAATACCAGCCCCACTGTCACAGCTGGTGACAAACCATCCATTGAAAAGATAGAAAACAAGTGTGAGATATAAGGTGGAAAAAACAAGACAGGAAGTGCACCCTCACTAACCTTCAGGGAAAAAACTACAATAAAAAGATTAAATATTTTTCTCATTTATAATTAGCAACAAAATAGAGATGATTTCTGACATCTTATCTGGTCTTGAATTGTGAAATATTTGCTAGCAAGTTCACACTCTGTCTGTAAACTTAGATTTTCTCATGATTGCACACCAGACACTCATGTTCATGTTCTCGACTGAGTGATACAGTGTGACTGTACAGATTTAGCACAGCGGCCTTTGTAGCGAGGAGGGGCTGTGGCTGCCTGGCCATCGGAGCGAAAACAGGATGTGGCCGACTTGTTTCACCTTAAGAAGCTATGAGCAGCATTTGAACTTGATGTGTTCTTCATACAGGCTCAAATCTACAGTGTGTAATAATAACCTTAAATTTTTTTTGCATAAATCTGTATCGTGGTTTAGTTCTTGGGCTGTGGTGGGCTCATGTAGCATTTTTAGACTCCTCTCCTCTTTTTCAGTGTAATGTCAGAAGTACATAACTGTGCAAGTACATAAGATTTGTCACGCTATCTTGTGGAGGTGGTATCGACAGCCACTGGCATATGCTTGAAGGCTGAAATGTGTCACAGGAAATAAATTGGTGAATTATAGTCAGTAAAGTGCATAAAGGTTCTTAAATACACTTGAATATTTTAGCCTGTCCCTTTGTTGCAAACTAAAAGTGATACAAGTCAGTTTGCAGGGGAATATTCAAATTTGTATGTCTTCCTCTTTCCATAAATAATTGCGCATTTTCTTATCTGTGCTTTCCACCACACCCTGCTTCATTTTGACTTGAATCTGTGTTCTCCCCCCCCCTTCAGCCTCCACCTACCTCAAAGGGCTGCAGCGAGCTATCTTCACCACATGTCATCACCCCCTCTCTCTCGTTTTCTCTCAGTCTCCTCCACACACACACACACACACACACACACACACACACGCGCCCATGCTGTCACACGGTTCAACAGCACCCTAAGTTACACAAGTTAGTCTTTTACCCGGCTTCGTGTTTTGGCACTTTATCTTCTGCTCGCAACTTGGGTAAGTCTTGTACAGTTTATTTCCTTCCCCTTTTTTTGTATTTTGACCAGCATCTTAACTCAACTATTCCTAAATAATCATGATATAAATGCCTCATACTTTGTCTGCTCTTCTGTATTTAATTATAGCTCTACATGTACAGAGGCCTATAGAGTTTAGATGCTTGAGTCTTTTACCTAATGGACTTCATGATTTAAATAGTTGTATAATTACAGTATTGCAGGCATTAATTTACCACCTAGGTCAGTTATCCTCGTGCATTTCAGCCCTTATTGCATATTAAGTGCATTTATTTTGCATCTGTATGTATTTTTTTTTTTTAATTTAACATTATGTTGTGACTTTTAAGGTCTGATCTCTAGAAGTCTGATTAACCATGACTAAAAAAGTTTCCTCCCATGGCTGGCTGACTGATGCTGTTCAATTATCATTTTGACAGGAAACCAGCAACTCTGCGAGCGGTCTGCTAGCTTCCTGTCACCACAAACAACGCGAACAGTTTATAGTCGAACAAGATCAAGGCATTACAGACTTCCTGTTACATCTCCAGTGTACGTCTTATTTATTGCAGCTATGGATCTTTGGTTAAGTTTCAGCCAGTGTGGATGGTTCTTCATGTAATTGTGTCAGGATTAGATATCAGTACTGAAAAAGTATTTCATGTTAAGATTCAGTAGCTTCTAAAATATAATTTCACCTTAGTGTGGATTTTTTAAAGCAAAATTGAACTGAATGGATAATCCTCTGAAGACACCATGCGATGTTACTTAATTTTCTAATTTTCTTTCTTTCTAGATCCTGAATATAAATCTACCAATGGATCTCCTTCTGATGAAAACTTCATAACTGCTTTCAAGTACACGGACTGCAAAATTGTGCCTGCAACTGTAACACCAAGCCAGTGGGATTTTTCTACTCAACAGGACATTTTCTAAGGAGGTAAAGTGCATTTCTAAATCTAATCTGCCTCAGTTTTGTGGGATTTACAGCTGGGTAAATATGAGAGGAATTCTGGTGCTCTTGGAAAGGAATAGCAGTGGATTGTGACCTGCTTCAAAAAGCCTATGAAACCTCCAGTGAGATAGCTCCAAGAAATATATGTATGTGCTGACATCATCTAATCATCCTTGCACATAAGGCATTGTTTTATGCGACAAACCCGAAGTGCGGCCTGAAACAAATCATGTAAACATTTTATTCACATCAAAAGAGCTAAGATAATTTATTAAAACCCTTTAACATTCTGCTCAACTGTTTGGTAGAGTACATCTTTAGTTACTATCTTAATAAAAATGGGTTAAACTTACTTCAGCCTGATTAAGCTATCTCTATCATTCGGTTTAAATATGTTATGCAAAAAAAGTCCACTAGATGTCACTGTATCTTTAAATAGTGGTCCTCTTCAGATCAAATCCTACAGGAAGCTAGTAACAAAAAACTCACTCCAAACATAAAGGCTCCATGTGGCAGGATTTTCAAACGTAGGCATATTTGTTCGACATTTTGTAGTTTCAGGGGCCTCACTGAACAGATTTATGTAACTTTATACGAAAACAAAAGTCTTGTAAGGGTCAAATATCTTTTTGAAACATGCTCTACCAAATGGTTGATTTGTCCTTTTATGGTAAAGCTAGTGAAGCTAAGCTAATGTAATATAAATTGGCGATTTGCTACAAAATAAAAACAATTCTGATCTAAAGTGGCCAAAGCAGCTTTTGGGTTTGAATTCATCTTGGGAACAGTCTATGTGCCACATGAAGGATCTATTTTTTTCAGCAAGGACTATTTTGGAAATATCTCCCAAGATATTTCATTTATGAACAGTAAATACAGCTTACCAATAGTGATGTTGGGTGATTTCAATTCAAGAACTGGTACTCTGAGTGACTCTTTAAATGTAGGTGACGTAGGAACGAATATTAGAAATGGGCTGTCTTTTGATGGTGAAATGCTTTTAAATAGTGAAATAAATGATTTTTCTTTGATGGATCTACAGAGGGTCAGTGAAGATCTAATGACTAATAATAACAGTCACAGTCTAATTGAATTATGTCAAAGTTCAGAGTTGAAGATTGTAAATGGAAGATTTGGGTCTGATAAAAGCATTGGGCGCTACACCTGTTTTAATTATAATGGAAACAGCGTTATTGACTATGCCATAGTGTCAGCTTGTTTGTTAGCACAGATTATTTATTTTTGTGTTAAACCTTTGGATAAATGCTTGTCAGATGTCCACTGCCCTATTAGTTTAACTATAAGAGCCAATAACCTTGGTACTCATAAGTGTGAAACTCTTACAGATACTGCTTATTATGATCCTGAAAAAGATTATAGACACATGACCCATTTAATATTTAAACACCAATGGAAACCTGAGTTAAAAGCCACATACCAAGAAACCTTTAATTTAGAGGTTATAAAAATGTATGATTCAATGATTGACGCGATTAATATTTCCAATACAAATCTGGTTGAAATAAATAACATTAGTAAAGGTATATGTGACGTTATGGTAGATCCTGCTAAAAGTTTGGGTTTATGTAAGGCATATGGTCAGGATCTGTACAAATGTGGTAGAACGTCAAAAAAACTACAGAAGAGAAAACCCTGGTTTAATGCTGAATGTATTGAGGCTCATAGAAAATATTTTAAATCCATGAACATATTCAAATTTAACCGCTCTGCCCAATCTAAAGTTGAAATAAAATGTATAGCTAGCTAGCTAGCTTCTTTACATAGGAAACTTCGTACACTTAAAAAATCTAATAGTAATGAATATTGGTCTATTTTAAATGCAGGTAAACCATCTGGAAGATTAGGAAATGTATCTATAGAAACCTTTGCTGAATATTTTAAAAAACTCAGCCAAAAATCGAGTGATAATTGTACACCAGAAGACCAGCAATTTGACCTCAGACAAGTCACCTCTCCTACAAATGAATGCATAAATGATTTGTTTACTTTGGAAGAAATACTGCGAATGGTAAAAAAATTAAAAAATAAAAAAGCAAATGGTATTGATGATGTTATAAATTAATATATAAAGAACTCCCCTTTGGAAGTGTTGAACATTATAGTTAAATTTTTTAATTTGGTACTGATAACAGGTATAGTCCCCACTGACTGGTGTTTAGGAGTGATAAAACCAATATACAAAAAAAAGGGACCAGTAGATGATCCTGAAAATTACAGAGGTATTACTTTACTTAGTTGTATTGGTAAGCTTTTTATGGCTGTAATAAATTACAGACTAACTGCTTATATAGAATCTGAAAGAATTCTTGGAGAAGAGCAGGCAGGGTTTAGGAAAGGCTTTTCAACCCTTGACCATATTTTTGTTCTTCACTCACTGGTTGAATGGTGTTTGGTTGAAATAGTCTAGATTTAAAGGTAAACATGAGAATGATTAACTTTTGGGTACATTTAATTAGTCATGATACAACAAAAATCTCTTTGATTGTGTTTATTGTTTTCAAGATTTTGTATGATGACAATATTTTTAAGTGTAAATGGATTTCCAAAGTTAAAAATATTCTTGATGATTGTGGTTAATAGTACTTATGACATGACGCTAGAAAGATGAACCCTAAATATTTAAAATTAATGATTGAACGTAGATTATCTGATATGGAACTACAGAGATGGCATGAGAAATTACAAAGCAACCCTTTATGTGATAATTATACATTGTTTAAAACGGATTTCACTTTTGAACCTTATTTGATTATGTTAAGACCTGCCGAAAGGATTTGTTTGTCTAAGTTTCAGTGTGGAGATCACAAGTTACCTATCTCTGAGCGCAGGTATGATCGTGAAAATGTCCCTCAGCAATGTACTCTTTGTTTGTCTGGCAATCGAGGAGACAAATATCATTATGTACTTGTGTGTTCCTTTTTTAACAAAGAGAGAAGAGAGTTGGTCAGACAGTTCTATAGAGTAAATCCAAATATTTATAAGTTTCAAAAGTTAATGTCATCTCAAAAAGTAAAGGTCTTGTCAAATTTTTTGAAACTTTTAAAGAAAATCCTGAATAGTTTCTCTTGATTTGCTTTGACTTGTATGTATGTACATTAATTCTGTAGTACTCTGAAGTAAAAATCCAGCGCTTCTTTCTTAGTGTGGACATTTAAGGGTTAAAGGAGCTTAATGTATGATTCTAAACATTAATAAAGCAGCAAATCACTATTTGTTATGTAAGATATGGTGGGGTAATGGCATCTTGAGCAAAAAATGAAGTCACACTACCTCTCTTTGTGTTTTAATCCAAGCTGTTGTGTTGGTTTTTAGGGTAGACAGTCTGGCCACATGTGAATGTTAGCACATGTGAGTCACTATGAGTGTATCCCACAGGCTAGCTAATCGCTGCCACTGCTCTGTACTGCGCTCACACAGCGGTTAGCGCTGGTATCGGGAACGTCGGAAGCATAGGTCAACAATGTTAGCTCTGTCAGCACTGTCTATGGGGTCAGCACCATTAACTGCTAGCCGCCGGCTCAGCTACCTCAGTGATGAGAACCGTGTGCAGACAACCCTGCCTCAGACTCTGAATCATAGATATGCTTTGAATGTCTCATAAGACCTCGCCTGTAGAGTAAATATGAAGCTACAGCCAGCAGCCAGCTAGCTTAGCTTAGCATAAAGACTGGAAATGGAGGAGGGAACGTTAATTTGCTGCTTTACCAGGGATTTTGAGCTAGAATATTTCCTTTAGCCTGGGGCCTTCGGACAGAGCTAAGCTAGCTGCTTCTCCCTGTTTCCAGTGTTTATGTTAAGCTAAGCTAACCAGCTACTTCAGCTACATATTGACCACACAGACATGAGAGTACCATGAGCAACAGGAAAGCAAATAATATTTCCCAAAATATCAAACTACATCTTCAAGAGGCAATAAATACAAAAACATATCAAAGTGAATAAACCCCAGTGTGTGAGCATGCTAACCCTTTTCTCTCTTTTCTCTTCAGGCATGAGTGACTCTAACAACACATCCAATAGGACTGTGCTGATCCTGGCTTTCTGCCTAATAGGCTTACTTTTATTGCTGATCTTCTTGTACAAGAAGTTGAACAGGGATACAAATGGAGAATATACCGTCAAGCGCATGGTGTATAAGGAGGGAGGGGTCAGGGACCGCGTGAGAGGTGCAGCGTTAGCTCTGGAGTCACGTCTTGGAGTCCAGCTGTGGCCTCAAAGCGACACTGAGGAGGATGGAGAAGAAATGCAGGAAATCAGAGATGAGGAGGGACAGGTGGAGGAAGGTGGTAGCCAGGGGAGTGACAGCGAGGGAGAGGACCAGGAGGAGGATAGTGCGAAGGAAAAAGAAGGTGACACTTCAGATGATAACTCAAGTGTGCAGAGTTCAGAGGCAGGGGAGCAAACCAGGCTAACGGATCAGGCGGACGCAAAGGAAGAGAAAGAGGAGAAAGTGGGTGACGGGGAAGGTAAAGGTGAAGCAAGTGGGGGGCCTGGATTGTTGATAGATATAAAGCAGTTCTCTGGAAGTGCCATCTGGTCTGAGGAAGAGGGATGTGAGGGCAAGGACGGTGATATGACTGTGCTGTGAGAACAACATTAGAAAGATCATGAAATAAAAGGGAATCTCAGGAAATAGTCTGAGGTCATGAGTCCAAGTCCCCTAATTAGCTGTTAAAATAAATTTTCTGTACATTTTACTTCTCAACATGAAAGTCTAAAGGCTGTTCCACACAGCTAGGAAAGAAACTATTTGTGTTAGTCTAACAGTGGTCTAAAAATACTGGAATCACCCTATAAAACACCCACCATGTGTTAGTTTTTACTTGCAGAACGTAGACTCCCCCATGTTGCTAAAACCCCATAAATTCCTCCTTAAACACACTGAGGACATTGTCTTCAATGGTAGCTACAGCTCTAGTCTTACTTCCACTTCCTGTTATGGCATCAGGATAAAAAGGTGATTGATGAATGAAGCTGTTATACATAAACAGGAATACACTGGAATTTGAATGTTTGTTTAGGAATTTACTTTTTATATCGTAAATCTGCTCAGCTAAGAAATCAAACTGTATTATTGTGTCCGCCTATTGCATGCTGTGTATTGTGGACTTTGACACACTGTATGTGTTATTGCTTTAAATGTTTTTTCTAATTAAAAAAAATTTAAACAAAAACTAAAATATATTTCACTGTGTTCATATTGTTCTTGATCAAGCTGAAACAATTAGTCAGTTAATTGAATGAGCAATCCTCATTAAATTTAAATCATTTTATTAAAGCAAACAAGACAGAATTTAAATGTTAACTAGTGTCATAGTTACAAACTGAATATTTTGGGGGGTTTAGAGTGAGTTTTGATGACGAACTGACAAGGGCAGAATATCAACAATGTAAAGTTAGTCACAGCAAGAGTTATATTATCATAGGTGGGAGTAAACTTTCCATCAAGTGACATTTCATACTTTATGTATGTTGTTACACTGTGGCTTAATGAGTAGTCAAAGTAAATTAGTATGTTGAATGTACTGTATGCAAAACTATAACATTAAGATCTATACATATTTGCTGTTAAATAATATAATGACGCTACTATGAAAAAAAACTACAGTAAAGTTACTACAGACTCACAACTACTGACATCACGGACGGAACGGGTCCACCCTTTTCTGCAAAACGTCATTCAAATCAACAAGCGCTGACCACAAAGTGACACAAAAAGACCACAAAGAGATGCAAAGGAACTGCAGAGAGACACAAAATTACTCCATCAAGATACAGAATTACCTCTAAGAAATACAAAATTACCTTAATAAGACACAAAATTATTCCAATATTAAACAAAATTACCTCATCAAGGCAATAAATTACTTTAAAAAAAAACAAAACAGTGCTCTAATAAGACACAAAATTATGTCCCAAAATTACTCCAATAAGTCACAAAATTACCTCTAAGAAATACAAAATTACTTCAATAACACACAAAATTACTCCAATAACACACAAAATTACCTCAAAGAAATACAAAATTACTTCAATAACACACAAAATTACCTCAAAGAAATACAAAATTACTTCAATAACACACAAAATTACTTCAATAACACACAAAATTACCTCAAAGAAATACAAAATTACTTCAGTAACACACAAAATTACTTCAGTAACACACAAAATTACTTCAATAACGCACAAAATTACCTCAAAGAAATACAAAATTACTTCAATAACACACAAAATTACTTCAATAACACACAAAATTACCTCAAAGAAACAAAATTACTTCAATAACACACAAAATTACTTCAATAACACACAAAATTACCTCAAAGAAATACAAAATTACTTCAGTAACACACAAAATTACTTCAGTAACACACAAAATTACTTCAATAACGCACAAAATTACCTCAAAGAAATACAAAATTACTTCAATAACACACAAAATTACTTCAATAACACACAAAATTACCTCAAAGAAACAAAATTACTTCAATAACACACAAAATTACTTCAATAACACACAAAATTACCTCAAAGAAATACAAAATTACTTCAATAACACACAAAATTACTTCAATAACACACAAAATTACCTCAAAGAAATACAAAATTACTTCAGTAACACACAAAATTACTTCAGTAACACACAAAATTACTTCAATAACGCACAAAATTACCTCAAAGAAATACAAAATTACTTCAATAACACACAAAATTACTTCAATAACACACAAAATTACCTCAAAGAAACAAAATTACTTCAATAACACACAAAATTACTTCAATAACACACAAAATTACCTCAAAGAAATACAAAATTACTTCAGTAACACACAAAATTACTTCAGTAACACACAAAATTACTTCAATAACGCACAAAATTACCTCAAAGAAATACAAAATTACTTCAATAACACACAAAATTACTTCAATAACACACAAAATTACCTCAAAGAAACAAAATTACTTCAATAACACACAAAATTACTTCAATAACACACAAAATTACCTCAAAGAAATACAAAATTACTTCAATAAGACACAAAATTACTTCAATAATACACAAAATTACTTCAGTAAGACACAAAATTGCCTCAAAGAAATACAAAATTACTTCAATAACACACAAATTTACTTCAATAAGACACAAAATTGCCTCAAAGAAACACAAAATTAAGGAAAGACACACTAAATTACTTCAATAACACACAAAATCACCTCAAAGAAATACAAAATTACTTCAATAACACACAAATGTACTTCAATAACACACAAAATTGCCTCAAAGAAACACAAAATGAACGAAAGACACACTAAATTACTTCAGTAAGACACAAAATTACCTGAAAGAGTCCAAAACAACTAAAAAGACATGAAACCACCACAAAGAGACAGAAAATGACTACAGAGAGACACAAAAAAATGCATAATAACGGAAAAGAGACACAAAACCACCACAAAGTCTGTCTTGCTCCTGTATAGGAGAGGTATTGGAGACCCTTACACACCTGTGCCCAGGGGCCCACTGTCTCATAATACATCTAAGTATTTGACGTACCTCACTGTTTCTTGAATCTATTCAAAGCTGTTTAATGAAGTATTTTGTTGGAAAAATGTTACTGCTTTTCATTTTGGGACACTGTGCACTCAAACAAATTAATAGTTCTGCCTTTATGTGTTGAGACATCTCAGGTGCAAAATAACCAATCGTCAACCCCAGTATAGGTAGGTACAAGTATCAATATTGTAGCCGTATTATCCAATGGGGATGTAGCTCAGTGGTAGAGCGCATGCTTCGCATGTATGAGGTCCCGGGTTCAATCCCCGGCATCTCCACTGGAATTTTGGACGCATTTCTTTTTTTGTGTGACAATAAAACATACCGTACGAAGAAGCAGCAGTGTGAAAGCTGTGTTGTGATCAAGACAAGCATATATAAAAACAAATAACATTGGCGATACAGTGAACAATACGCGTCTGTATAAGAAACGTTCGTGATTGGCCAGACGGTGCACCTGCTCAAATCGGATTGGATGCTGGAGATCTTCGAGGAGCGTGAGTGTGGGAGTGCTCACGCACGCGAGTGTCAAACATTTATTTTTCACTGGCCAAATTATCCTCAGTGGTGGGTGAGAGCCACTGGATCGAGACATTATTATGCACGAGCCAATGAGCGAGTGTGAGTCAAAGTCAACACAAGTGTGGAGACACATTATCAAAGTAATTATGTAACCAGATACCCGGGATTTTACCTCAAGACTGAAGACACTCTCAGTGACAGATGGATCATGACTAAAGCACCCAAAGTGTTCTACAAAGCAGTGATTTGACTGGAGACACTGGATCTAACCTGGTAAATATCTCAGCTATTTGCTTCCATGAATCTGATCCTTCCTCACACACACACACACACACACTACAGATTTGGTTAGAAAAAAACATCCATGCTCGCACTGCACGATCACAGCCCGTCTGTCACAGTAACCTACTTCACGAGTGCCGCACCACCGTGAGCATCCAAGTTGCATTTTCTCCTCTCACCCTAACTTGATTGTGCCGGAGAAATGATTTCAGTAGACGTCACTCATCTGCATAGGGAGTAAAATGCAACCATCCTGCAAGGCTTTTTGCGCCCAGAAACGCTCTGCACCCTCGCCGTGTGACAAAAGGACCCTCTAATTGCTGCATAACCGAAACTACAAACATGGAAGGTACAGTTTGCATGTAGTGTCATGCCAATATATATATATTTATATCCACAGATAGGAGACACATCTGGGTTGCAAACTGTCCAAGATGGATGCAGCGCCGCTGTGCGCAGGGAGGCACGGCGGAGCGGCAGCGGGGTGTCTTTAAATGCCCACCATCCCCGCGGTCTCGCTTTCATTTATGCCTCCGTGTTGTCAGTGTGATTTTTTCCACCTTTGCAGGAGTAGGATGTTACTAGCATCCGCCGTAGTGGTATGGGAATGGCTGAACGAGCACGGACGCTGGCGGCCCTACAGCCCGGCTGTCTGTCATCACATCGAGGCAGTCATCCGGAGCGACCCGCGGTGTGGTAGTGTTGTCCTCGGCCAGGTGGACTCTCGCCTCTCGCCCTACATCATCGATTTGCATTCCATGCACCAGTTCCGACAAGACACAGGTGAGGAGCGGGGAGGAGGGGGGGGAGACAGGGCGGAGGGTGGCACGGTGGAGCTGGGCCTGAGGTGGAGGCCTTTTTATTGCTCATGTGTATCTGTGCGAGCCTTTATGTTGATCCAGCTCCAGAAGTTGATGCAAAGTGGCGTCTTATTTCTGCAGTAATGCCTTTAATTCTAATTTCAGATTCCCAAATCACCCATAGGTGACACCTCCTCTGTATGGTTACATCTCATTTAAAGTACATGGAGAGATGCTGTGTTTTGCATGTAACACCAAGGCCACAGCAGCAGCTAAAGTGTCCAGTCATAGCCACAAACACAGACACCTTTTTTTGTATCTGCACACACTGTCATCAGTGCCACTGTCTTTTACAGCATTGTGTGTATGACTTGTGAAAGAAATCATCTTTCACAAGTCACAGCTTCACAGAAGAGAGGCGAGCAGAGCAGGGAAAACAAAGAAGGGAATTGTCAGTTGTCAGATGTCTAACTTTGGCAAAGAACCCAACATTTCCCCCCTCGCTCGCTCTCTCTCAACATTGGCTGACAAAAGCCTTTGTGAAGTTTGTTTTCCAAACCCAGCAGAAGCTGAACTGGGGGAGGCGGGCAGGGTGCCCCAGTCTAAATAGGAGACAGGGAGGAGGAGGAGGAGGAGGAGAGGGAGAGGGGAAGGGTGGGGAAGAATTTCAGGAGTGCGAGGTCATTGATGAAATGGGGTCGATGGGAGCAGACCTCATGAATGAATTCCCCTGATCTAGGCATACTGTATGGTACACATTCCCATTAACTTTTATATATAACTGTTTCTATATGAGGTTATTTTTGTTGTTTATTCAAAGGGCTACGTGTATTTCAAATGCTTAATTTCACAGCACACTACTGTAAAATGTAATATGCACCTGTAAAGTGCATTTTAGAGAATTCTCCGCACCCCTTTGTGTTCCAGATATGTGAAGGCTTTACAGTATGAGGACTCTGTAGAGTTTCTCTGGACACCCTGGGAAAGCAAACACAGCCAGCTTTGGGTCGGATCAAGG